TCCAAACTGAACTTACAACAGTGTTGGGAAAGCGAATGAACAAGGTCAAAAGTTGCACAATAAGTTTAGTGCAAAACTCACAGAGCGCACAAAACGGATAGAACCGAAAACCGGGGTGGGGGAGGATTCAAATGTTAATTCGAGCTCAGACTTTGATGGCAAACACTCAAGCACACCTTTCGTTGGCAAAACCTCAACCCGCAAACGATTGCAACAAGTTAATTACCTAAATTATTAGGGGGAAGAACTGCTACCTGATATCAAGTATCCCCAAGGTAGCAGTTTTTTTTCCTTTCGCCATCTTCTATCCTGTCCTCCTGAACTTACTATACTGCGCTCATTCTACTTAAAACGCTCTTCTATGGGACACGAAGTTCTGACAGCCGGAACACAGCATGAACTTTTCGTGCTAATCTCGGCATACAGCGTAAGTTGGAATTAGTTGATAATATTCAGCCCTTAACTAGATAGTTAACTTGTTGCAATCGTTTGCGAGGTTGAGACCTCGCCAACCAAAGGTGTGCATTTGAGTATTTGCCGTCAAAGTCTTAGTTCGAATTAACACTCGAACGCCAAGTTTTCGGTTTTATCCGTTTTGTACACTCTCTGTGAGTTTCTCACTAAAATGATTGTGCAACTTTTGGTCTCGTTCGTTCGCTTTCTCAACACTCTTGTGAGTTCAGCTTGGAATTCTAATATTCCTCTTTTCTGCCTCTCAGAGTGGAATGCGACCCTATGTTCTATGGTAATTATTGCTCGTCTGGATGGGTACTATCACCCCTCTTAATTTGTCAAAGCAATTTAAAGTAACCCTCTATAAAAAATGGAAAATTTAAAAAAATGAAAAAGTAATCAACAAATCAAGAATTTATCGGCAGTGATCAGAAATTGGTTGACATTTCAAGGGAATAAACCAACTCCCGATCAATTAACAATAATTAATAAATGCGAAGATTTTTCGTCTTTTACTCAAGTAAGAATTAGGATGCCAAAAGCGGTATTATGTAAGTTGGATTTAAGCCAAAGAGGTAGATTTTAAGTGAGATGAATTTAAGTAAATATAGTATATAGAATTCATTATAAAAGTGTCAGTTCCGTTAAGTTTTTTTTTTTTTTTTTTTTAAATCTGGAAATGTTATTATTAGAGTGTGTAGTTGTATTATTTTCTTACTTGAGTAAAGTGAATGCTTATAAGTTACTTCATTGAACTAAAATTTTACTACCTTTCTAAAAGGAGATAATATACTCAATAATCCATTAGTAAATAATTTATATATATATATATATATATACTCTGTTACCCGGATCTGAGACCTTAGATTTTGTATTCTTTTATGTGGGTAAATTGTGCATTTTTTGCTTTAAAAGTGATTGAATTATGTTGTTCTTATGTTCTGGTTAAGGTTCCTATGCCTTTAGTTAATCTGCATACAATAATTTTAGAATGATCAACAATTTAAACGTTATTTAATTGCTACTAAGCCTAACGAAGCCGCCATTTGCTCTCATTTGAAATTCTTTAGTAGAATAGTGAATTAAGTTAGTTTCTGCACCTTCAGGACTTTTTGCAGAGTAGAACCAACCGTTTTGTGCCTTGAAAAATTTGCCTTCTTTGTTCCCTGGCCGACTTGCTAGTTTTTGTTTAGCAACTTTAATTCTATTTGTAAAAAATGCTTTTTAACTGTATTTAGTGTTTTATGTTTTTATGTATTTAACAATTTTTAATAAAGATGTTTTGAGTTTTTTATGTATCTTTGCCATTCCATGAAGTGAGAAGTGAATTAATTGAATGATAAATATATCTCTAATGAAATTCGAAGAAATAAGTTTAAATGAAATGTAGCAAAAAATGTATATAATTTAATAGGCCGTACAAGGTAATTATGTGGTCTCCACATAATATTTTTTTGTAATTGGTCCATCGATATCGTTTCATTTAAAATATGCGAGAACTTTATATGGCCCCCCTCACTTCTACATAACATAACATAACTCAGCATTAGTACATATATTAATTTGTACGTTTAGAAAGTTCAAACTGAAACGGAAATTAGTGTTCTTTGTAATGTCTCCATCCCAGTTAGGTCGTATAAGCGGGCTTTTACTCTGTGTAAAAGCCATAATAAACCAAGTCAAGTAAAACAGTACAATAGAATTTTTTGCAGTAGAATTTCGTGAGTTAACTTTGTTAATCGCCCTTAAAAATATTTTTAGATGAAGAGCGTAAGTTGGACTAAGCTGAAATTGAATGTGTGTTTCTTACCGTAAAAACCTTCGATGAAGAGTCACAGTCAAGGCTTAAGTGGGACAAAAAAAAAAAAAAAAAAAAAAAAAAAAATACTGATGGGGCATGGCTTTCCTAGGCAAGTTTCAATCACGCAGCTAATTAGTATAAACGTGAAACCATCTCAAGACGTTATGTCATTCAATGATATTTTATCTTAGATAAGAGTGCACATACCATGTTCAGTGTTACGTAAATTTACGATTATTTCATCTGTCATCAGGCACTGAAGAATGTTGCAGTTACAAAATAAAGAATGTTCTCAGATATTCTATGAGAGTGTGGAACTTCAGTCTTTTTAAATGGCTGAATTAACTGCATACACAAGCTGAAAAATAATGCAAAATTTTATCTGAATGCGTTGTTTTTCACATTGTTCGACGTGAACTGAGAAGACAGAATATATTAAAATATTAAACGCCTAACGTATGTATATTATTCTACTAAAATTTAAGTAAGATTTAAGCATCATTAATGCAGTTTGCTTAAGAAGATAGGACACGCTATAAAAAAAGTGAAACGCAACTATTCTAAAACTGAATTGTCATTAATTTGGCTGCATTTAATTTCTCTATATTGTTTATCACACTTTTTAGAACTAATGGAAACGTATAGCAGCTATATATGCTTTAAATATATAATAAAGGAATCAAATTGCAGCTATAGGTTCTAGGAATGTATACTAAAAAAAAAAAAACCTGATTGTAACTGTGAAGAGACATTAGGTATTTTTTTGGAAGCAGGCAAGATGAAAAATTAGCATCGCCTTCGCCGGGAATCGAACCACGGACCTCTCAATTACGCGCCGAGCCACTACACCACGAAGGCTCGCCAAGAAAGTGGGAGAAATACCTTCTAACTGTATAAAATATTTATTAGAAATCATGAAAGCGTAAATCAGTTTTCCACGATTAAATAAATAATTAATTACGTTGACACTAATTTTGAATCAAAAATAAATTGAAAGCACTTGGGATTTCAAACATCCTACCATATATTACTGGAAATGAGATGTACTGTTAAAATTTAAATCATTTTAAATTATTCTAGTTATTTTCAATAACGGTTTGTTTAATTTAATTATTTTTAAAAGGATGCGTTTGATGTATATCAATGACGAAGATTAATTATTTAAGTGAATTCACAGGAACAAGGCCCACAAGCGACCGATAGGTAACTTCGGTGAAAGTTAGTAGTTCGGTTCAGGATTCGAATCCCAGAGAACGGGCAGGCTGCATGGACGTGTTCTTGATTTTCCCCATGTGTAACCCATGTGTAGTTTTATCTTTTTGTCCTATTTTTAGTATGGTTTTATCTTTTCTCCTATTTATTAACATTGTTTTATTTTTCTTCTATTTTTTAATACTACCAAAAATATTTGTAACAGATATAACTTTCTATTTGTAAGATTGTTTGAACATTTCCGAATCGTTTAAAAACCTTCATATTAAATGTCGATTGAATGATGGGCAGCATAATGATTTACATCCAACTACTTGAATGAGTTTTAACAAGAATAAGTAAAAGATAAACTTCATTAAATCATTCGCTATTTTTCTGTTTAGTTTCTCAGTCAACAGCCTAGCGCTTTTGGAAATAAGAAAAAATAGCTTTGTGTTTTGATTAATTTTTCTTTGCCTTTTAATGAAGGCAAAGTAAATACTGAGCACAGTTAACCCTCGATTCGGCATCTGAAGGACCCTTTCAAACAACCATTTGATTTTACAACAGCTCTATTCAGTGTCATGATTTGTAGAGCGATACAAAGTGTGCATTCGACGCTTCGGCGGTAAATGACTTTGACAGATTACAGAAGTGTTGGGAGCAAATACATTTAAGCTAGAATTCTGTTTTCACAAAGACGGCTCTGTGATAAAAATACATTTTACTTTTTGAAGAGCTAAGATTTACGGCATTCCACAGCGCGATTTTTTGACTTATGTTTCATTTCCTCTTCACGCCTTTATTTATTCTTTCTGTAATTCTCCTGGATTTTTTTCTCTTATTATATATCACTTTTAAAATGTAAAATACTCGTAGCATAATGAAGAAAATTCATTTTTCTACCATTAAATGTAAAATGAGAAACCTGAATTACTTCCCGATTTCTAAAAAGTCATTTCATAGGTCATTCATTATGTTTTGCTTAATATAATGATTATGAAAATTACAACTCATAAATTTTACTTTTTCGTTTTCATAAATATTTATAAAATAGCTATCCTATTTTCAAAAGGTAAAAATAAAAAATAAAAACTTCCAGATATGGTCGTTTCGAAATATGACTTTATTGCTGGATAATTCAGATCAGATAATATTTCTGTAGATAAGATATTTTTCAATCAGAGTTGAATGCAATAATTTCCATGTACACGAGTTGTAAACTACTACGTAGTCTTAAGCAAATAAGCAGCAGTGTCTTGCCAGGATGAAAGGAGGACGACATAGCAATTCAGAGAAATAAGGGAGGGAGTCAAAAAGTTTCAGTTCCGAGTTAAAAAGTTTTGGTTAACAATTATTTTGATTGTACAAGAGGTATCTGCATTAAGCGTTAATTCGACATCATGGAAAGATCTCGAATTTGGGAGAACAGATGAATTTAGGAGGAGAGCATAAAATCTAGAATCGTTAATTTTAAGGTCGCCAATTATTTTTAAAGCAGCTATCGTGTTTTGTTACATCTTACATATATATATATATCCTGTATTTTTTTCAGCGGCTTGGGGTTATCATCGACAAGGCTCATGTCAAGCTGGCTTCTCCGCTGCTGTGACTAAAGTAAGAATGAAATTACTGAAAAATATTAAATAAAAGAATGTGAATATTAATGAAATATTTGAAGTGATTTTAATTCATCTATTTTTATCAAATTTAGGATGGCAGGCAACTTTTCATCGGTGCAGTAGGTAGTTGGTACTGGCAAGGTAATTAAACAAAAATTTATTTCCAATTATTAATACATTTTCGAAATAGTAATGACTGCAATATTAGCATACATCTATTCTTAAAACGGAATGTCTATATCTGGCAAGAGGCAAAAATGTCAAGTCGGCTGTTTTAGTGTTAATTTAAAGTAGCTCTGGTTATTTCAAAATGAGTTTACGTAAGACATAAATATATCCAAAATTTTAAATAATGCGGATCAAATGTAAATAATTATTTTTTTTCATAAAGAAAAGCTGAACTTTTATTTATGTATAGTTACAATGAATAATAATAGATAAAGAGTTACGTGATTTTAAATATTAAAAAATTGGCTTAAATTAATTCTTAATGTTGAAAACATTAGCTTAATTAAATCAAAAAACACAAAGGCCATCTATCACAGGAAAAAGAATCCTTTTTGGAAGACTGTCTAATGGAAAACTTTCTCATATTTACGTTAGAAGTTCGTTAAATTGTCAAAGTTCCATGTAATTAATTCGTTTAAATATCGAGAACAGTGGCGTGTGACGAACTAAACGACTTATTTTAATTAATTTTTCGTTAAGTAATTTATCGGCTCGGCAAATTCGAAACGTCAATTAAGTTATAAAATTCTGTAAGTTGTCATGTCTTTAAAAGATAATTTAGAGCAAATGAACTCAGTTTTATATAAATGGCCACAAAATCAGATAAATCAGTTTAGAATACAAATAATACTATTTTGAACAACAAATATGTTAATGAAATTTATGATAAACATCTCATACTAAATGCGTTTATTTTCAGGAATAATTATAAAATTAGTTATTAACTGAAAATGAAATATGCTTATTACTAAACAGTAAAGTGAATTATATGATCTTAATTTATCATTTGCTTAGACTCATCTTATTTTACCTATGATGAACTAAAAGAGTGCCATTATTCTTAAATCGTAATTAATACTGTAGAGTCATTAGGTTATTTTGAAGCAAGAGGCGTGAAAAATGTATAGTGCCCTCGCCGGGCCTCGAACCCTGGACCTCTGGACTACGCACCGAATGTGCTACCGTTACAGCACGAATGCATACAGGAAAGAGAAAGAAAATACCTTATACACCCCCTCTTTTAAAGGGCGACTAGGTATTAGGAGGACCAGTTGCCAAATCTTGTCGGTGACGAATTACTGTCCACCACCTTTTTTTAGTTGGCGCGACGCGCAAATTGTGCTACCGTTACACCACTAAGGCATGCCTGAAGGAGGCAGAAAATTGCCTTGTAATACAGCACTGACGATTTCAAATTTAAAGGAAAAGAAGGGAAGAAATTTAAGTATTAAAAATTATTCTTCATGACTGTTCAGTAATTTTTTTCCTTTTAAGATACAATTCACATTGCTGTTGGAAATAATTTAATAACAATTTTTTTAAGTGTTCAGTTCATTTAATAATTCAAGATACGCATAAAATTCTATTAATTTATATTCATTAAAATTTAGTTAATCTAAAAACAACATTTAAAATTATGATATGAGAGTAATTTTAATAGGATTTCTTTTAAATGTTTCGGTATTAATTAAAGTTTATTTCAAGTGCAAATGATCATATTTTAACTTGATTGAATCCTAATAAAATAAAAATGCCTTGCATTTTCAATTTAAATCGTACCTCAAATTAATTATGTCTTAAATATACCCTGAATTTTCAATTTAAATCTTATCTCAAAGTAGCTGTCTCTTAAAAAACATTATTTAAAAAATGTCTGTATAATTCTGATTAAGATTGTCATGTATGTAATGAGACCTCATTACCGGTCGACAGTAAACGAAATAAGTCATATTTATTAAAGAGATAATTCTGTTCCGCAGAAAATGTTAATTAATTATAGCATTGTCTTATACATAAAATGTAATTTTTCTCAGGATATTATTAAACATCAGACGTATAACTTAAAATTGTATGTGAACATGTTTTCTAAAGTAAAATATCAGTTATTTTACATCATACGTGATCTTATTTGTAAACGAAATCATGTTATGTTACAAATATATCCTGTTATAGCGTTTTATTGGATTGGATTGGATTATTCAATTATGGCAAAGCACACGAGGGCTATCTGACTAAGGGGATGCTTCGTGGATGTCTTTCTAAGGGAAAATGGCTCGTATACACGTTACACATGAGGAAAACCACGAAAACGCCCATGCAGCCAGCCCGTTCGCGAGATTCGAACTTCGGACCGAACTACCAGTGTTCAACGTCTTTACCGCTCGGCCGCTGGTGGGCCCGTTATAACGTTTCAAGCGTGCTGTACAACTTATGAATGATTATAAAATGATTATACCTTTCAATAAAGAATATAAAATAGAAATTTGTCATATTTTACACACCATAATAATTCTTTAAAAGAAACACGCCATTTACAATAATTGTAATTTTAAATCTTTTTCATCATAATCAGTTTCCGTTTTCAATGTCATTAAATCTTTAAGTCACTGCTATTTTTCATCGATTCGTATTGCAATGATTTGGATAAAGAAAAGCATATTTGTAAATATAGAAAACAAAAATTTGTCTAGTTGTTTTGTTATTTTAATTTTCAATGCAATAAAAATGAAAGAGTTTTATGTTTTTCTCAGGTCAGCTGTATTCTCAAGATTTGCTGTCTAAAGAATCTCAGTATGGCACACCGGAAGGACCTGAGGAAGAAGATGATAGTTATTTAGGTAAAAAATAAGTACTTTAAAGATATCTGAAAATTTACCTAAGTTCCAAATACGCTGCTAAATGTTTTCGCATTTTTCTGTGCATTCTATATTACGCCGTATTAGTTAGACTTAAATGTGAAAAATGATATTTTATGGATTTCTGTCCTGTAAATTATTTTGATTTTACAATAAATACATGCTCGTATTTTTATTTTTATGCCATGGGTGCGGTAAGACTTTGCAGGTTTTTCCATTTTTTTAAATTTATATTAACTATTTTAACCCAAAGGGGCGTTAGCCCAGGAGGGCTAGTCTCGAAACGGCATTTGTGTCGAATCGCTATGAACGAATGAATCAATTTTCAAATTGTTGCCACCAACTATTATCGCCCTGTATTATATTAAAAGGAATTAAATAACGAAGAATCTTCATGAATGTATGTATGTTTCTCGGATTGTGAAAAATAGCGATACCTAGAGCCATCAAATTTTGCATAACGTAGTTCTCCGCCCGATAATGGGTATCTAATCTTGAATTTCGAATTTGTTTTACTATCTATTTCATGATTTTAAACTTTAATGAATTTTTGGTACGGAATAAAACATTTTTATCTCCAGCGCTCGAGGCAGTGTTTCGAAAATTCTAAAGATATGCTGTTTTTAAATATTTTTAGCCCAAATGTTGTCAAAATGTGTATGTATGTGTATATGTAAAAAACGCCCTTTTGGGCGTAATATAAAATCTGAAAGCTTTCAGATTGCTTAATGTGTTTTTTTATTTATTTATTTTTTATTATTATTTTACCATTTTCCAAAATATAGCAAATTTATTTTCCCTGCAGAGTTTTTTTAGTTGTCCCTTAATGAACAAGCGAATTGAAAAGTGTGTTGTCACAAAAAGTTATTTCAAATTTCAGTATACTAATGAAATTTAAATTTTCTAGTGCACTTTTATATATATAATCATATCTATGTACAGTTATTATTTTAGAATTACCGATATGTATATATCAATAAGGCTTATTTCTGTATACTTATTTCTTCAGGTTATTCTATGGCTGTTGGCGAGTTTACAGGCGATAGACATCCAGATGTGGTAGTTGGTGTGCCAAGAGGAAGCAATTTGACCGGAAAGGTAAAAATTAGATTGCTCTGTGGTTGTCATCACTGCATCTGAATGATATAACATTATGATTCTTTTAATAACTTTAGGAGGCTAAATATTGCGTAACACGATGCTGTTTATAATTTCAGTTACAGTACTAGTATTTTAAAATGTTTCCAATTTTTATACATACATATGTCGATAGTTTCTAACTGAATGGTTTTTAATTCTATTATAAAATTAATCTTGATTTGCCGGTTACCAAACTGTTAATCTTATTATTCTGTAACATGCGGGGGAAAATTGCAAACTTGCCTTTTTTTCAAATGCCATGATTTTATGCGGTTTTTCTAACAATATTATTATATTACTTAGTCAGAAATTTTTTAAATGATTGTCTTATCGCTCACAGTGCTTAATTACACAGCCATATCATTGCCATAATCAAATAATCCAATCTAATTTATTCCGCTACTATATCGTATTATTTATTATTATCCCGAAATGTAGTTAATATCACTGAAAACCATAATCGTAGAGTGGTATTAGTAAAGTCATTAAATTTAAACTTAATATTATGTGTTAGGCACTGAGTTAATGTCAATATCGTTTGACAATTCTTAAAGTCAAAATTTCCAAACTGATCATTCCTAACGAATGGTTTCATTCATAGCATTATCTATCTCTGTTAATAATAGGTGCAGATGTAAAACATAAAAAATTTTGAATTCTTCATATATTTATTGTTATTGGCTTACGTTTTCATCTATTTTGATTTCATTTAAACCATTTCCACATGATAAATAATTTAATACGTTTAATTATGCAGAGCTCCTTTATTACTGAATGTTGTCTTTCCATAACCGGCTTATATTGGGAATTAATTTACTTAAATTAAGTTACTTCAGTAATTGATAACCTAAAAATTATAACTAACTCTTAAACTAGAACTGGGTGTGTAATTATTTGTTTTCCTTGCGTGTTCAAATCCCTAAATTAAATATAGCTTACATAGCACAGACGTAAAAGAATATCTACGAATTATCTGAATTAGAACTTCGAAATATTCATAACTAAATTTTAAAACATACACTTGCTAATTTATTTTAAAAACTAATTTTTGTTTCTTGTTAAAAAAAGTACCTAAAAATACAAAGTACGATTACACTAACCAACAAGTACATGCTATAGTAATTGAATTCAACAAAACGCGCAATACTTTTTTTTATTTTGGTGAAAAATGGTGTGTTCTGTTCTGTTAATAAGCATAATGATTTGTCATTTGTTACACAAATAATAGATGAATTATGCGATAAATAATTAAAATAAATTAAAAATAATAATAAATTTGTGAAATAAATTTATGCATTAAATGTTATATTATTCTAATATAAGAATTCGTTCGTGAAAATTACAAAACATATAATACGCAAATTTATCTTTCCTGGTGTTTTGGCATTTTGAGTACGTAACCCTGAAGAAGTATAGATACAATACTAATATCATGAATATCATTACAGTGATATTTCGTTTGGTATAAAATGTTTCACAGATATTTTTCTTTCAGATAGCTTTATTCAATTCCACCCTACACAGTCTGCATAATGTGTCTGGCGAGCAGCTGGGTTCCTATTTTGGGTATTCTGTTTGCACTGTCGATATAAATGGAGACAGGTAAGAAAATTTAGACGATGTATTAAATAAAAAACAAGAATTAACAGATAAAGCATAATTCATAAGCAAGTGCAGAAATTTATGTATTTTTATATCTCTATTTGATGCACAAGTTACTAAATTGGGTAAGATGGACGAGGTTAATGCATTCCAAAGCGCAGAAATTTGTAAACACGGATATCTATTTTCAAATCTTCAATAGGAGTTGAATGCTTTAAAAAATAATAGATCATATAATACAAAATTGTTTTTATCTTATTACTCATTGTCTATTTGTTTTGGATATTAAACATTTAATGGTTCACATCCAGGAAAGTCACAAATCGAAGTATCCGGTGCCCAAATCTCTACGACGCGCTTTATGTCTACTTAATATTCTCATTCTTAAGAAAAAGGGTACCTTTATTTTCATTGTTCTAGAACGTCTGGTAATCTTGAGAGGCCTCGACATACTGCCTTTTTTCGTGAACTTGTTCACATTCAATGAGCTTAACATCTTCTGCTCAGTGTTTAAAAATGATTCCTTTACATTAGAAAGGACATGGGGGTACATCTGCTGAATTTCAAAAGGGCCTCGGCCCTCAATCTAAGTTTGAATGAAAAATTAGTACCATGAATAAGTGAACAAAGCCAGCAAATCTTTCCTATCGGATCAGTGTATGATTAAATATATTTTTCAGGTAGCATCGTAAAACTTTCAACTATTATTTTTTTTTTGGAATACGATTTAGAGCTTAATAATACTATGCACATAATGTTATGTGTTTATCCTGAATATATGCTTGAAAATTCAATGATTTGGGAAAGCTGATGAAACGTAAATGTCCTATTCACAGCAGCTTTAACGTTTAATAACTGAAAGGGTTTATATTAGCTCTGATTTCAAATAAAAAATATTAAAGCATTTACTTCTTTCTTGAGCAAAATAAGTACCTGCTTCTCTGAGCTAAGGATTTTGACTTATATTTATATCAAAACTATTTAAAGTATAAAGTTGGAGTAAACTAATGTTGTCAGTATATTTTTGATAAGAATTTCATTAACACATATAGGTCTTATGAACCAGAAATGATATAACGCTTAGAAAATTGGTGATTTTAAACTATTCATTATTGTCGTGTAAGCTGTTAATTGAAGAATGTATAATTTTTTATTAGTATACGAAAACCATGCTTTAAAATATGAATTAACTATTTATACCCTTTCATGTTTTTTATGAGAGAAAATTCATCCAGTTGTGTAGTTTTCTTGCCAGTAAGAAATTTCTCGAATTTTTTAAGGTTAGATGACATTGTGGTTGGGGCGCCTCTATTCACGGATCTTTCAGCAAAGGACGGAAGTTACGAAAAGGGTCGTATCTATGTGGTTTATCAAACTCGAAAGGTAAGTTCTTCCGCACTCATGCACTATTTTCGGATCCAGCTAAATGCAGTATGTTATTAAGCTACACTTTGTACATATTGTCACAAAGGGGTTTTTAATTTATGGCAGCACAGAGTACTGAATTACAATGTCTCAGAAATACGGCTACTATATTTGAAATAAATGTAGTTTGTTGCTCTAAGTTGTAGAGGAATAGTGACTTGTTTGTTAATCTGGAACTCATTTTGTTTTCGTTTGAAACGAGAAATACATACCCGATTTTACATTATTAACCATAATGGTACTGAACATGCTGTAGGACAGTTGCAACATGAAACTTCTACGTTTCTCCAAATCATTTGTGGCTGATAAGTGATCTGGCTGGTAAGTAAGTGATCAATGCTGCAAATGATCGTGATATCATGAGACAGAAGAGGCATGATTTGAACTTAGCATTTGTGAAAAATAAAGGAAGGATTATACTGGAAAGCACCCGAAAATAAAATCTGGAAATACTCGCAGTGACGTTGATGCAGCAGTGGCTTTGCAAATGCGGTCAAGAACGGGAGAATAACATTAATTACGAAGGGGAAAATAAATGATTGCGTTAGGGATCATAAAGGAAGATATATTGTAAAGAAAAGTATTTTTAGGGGTCATTCAGTATCCGTATATCAGGAATAAAAACTTGAATGGAGCTACAGAGTTCTTCCCCTAGTCTTCACTGTTAGTCAGTAATGTATACAAGGATGTACTACATGGTACCAGAATAGAGACAAACTATATCGGATGTGAAAAGTTTTGAAGTGATCTTTTATGTATTATTAAATTAATATTTATTCAATAATATTAATATGCACTTTGGGGGATTATTAATAACATATACTTCCTTATAATTGCAAATTAAATTATAATTAACAAATAAATATAATCATTAAATTTGTAATGTTAATAAACAAATAAATATAATCATTAAATTTATTTGTTTATTAACATTTCATTATTGCATTATATTCGTCTAGGAATTTCCTTTTTCACCGCCGAGCAACACATACATGTAAGTCACGAGTCTGAAAAGCACTGCTATAAGTAAATAATACGATCCAATTCCAGTTGAACAGCACTAATTAGCACCAATTGTTTACGGATAATATCGTGGTTTTTTAAAAGCTTAGTATCATCTAACATGAAGTTAATTACTTAATCATCTTAAGAATGATTTTATGTGCTTATTTAATTGAATATGGCAAAGCATATGAGGGTTGGCTAGGCACGGTTTCATGGAGAAATTTCTAATGAAAATGGGCTCATATTTACATTACTTAATCCACGAAAATGCTTACACACAGTGGTAGGCTGCAGGAGGGCTCGTTAAATCCATTTGTTAAATTTGCATCTAATTTTCAAGTCTCTTCTTTTTTTGGCTAGTTGATTCATTCAAAGGAAAATACATGTTACTCACTGAACTTCTCACGTTAGTCTGAATAAACTTTAAACCCGATGAACACTACATTTCTGTGACAAAGAGAGCTTTTTGACCTGCACAGTCTATTTTACACTTAGCGAGCTTGTGCCGAACAAGTTTATTCGCTATTTTATGTAATTTCTGCAATATTTTGTAATTATTATATTTTTGTAAATTTTAATTAAAATTTTATTTTTTTAAGATTTTTTCTTTTTATTCACAAATGTTTGTATTTTCAATTTTTTAAGAAGGTAAACGTTTACTTAGATTCTGGTACTTTGCTTTCATAAAATAAAGTACGAACCCTTTGTTAAAATTTTTACAGCTCACTGTAGCTTACACTGCGAGTCCGTTCATCCTATTTGAAACTAGTAATTAATTAACTAATCTTTCCATTCATTAATCCTATCGACTTGAATACAGTGAACCTGAGTAAAGAGGGAAATATCTTTCGTAAATATAAAAGACATTATAAATGCATTTCTAAATAATAATTTAAAAATATGACGCTCTTTTCAAACGATTTATTAATTACATATATAAATATATAGTATAATGTTGTATGATCTTAAATTCACTTAGTGCGAAATCAAGTTATTCTACTACTTGCGCAATAGCTGCAAAGTAAGTTAATAATAATTTAATTCTTAGGAGATAATATAATCAATATTTCTTTAGTAAATAAATTATTATATATATATATATATATATAGAAAATAACGAAGGGAATAACATATATTGTATTTGTAATTACGAGAATAAGTATTTCTATATGTATGCAATTTGGCTTAAAATATTTGGACACATAATTATTTTTCCTTCAACTAAATATTAGAACTTATTGACTATCAGCTTCTCATCGGCATGTATTCTCATCAGCAAATGATAACATCCTGGGTTCAAATAAACCCCGACAAAAGCTGATCGACTGCTATTGAACTCTGAAGAGGAGTTTATCACAGGCAAATTAACAATTAAAATTGCATTTAATTTTTTTAATTATTTATTTACTATATTGATTTATTACTAATTATAATGGATTGGAATATTTGAATATGCATTATCTGAATATTTAAGAAAAATATTATGACTGCGAGAATAGAAAAAAAAATTGTGGAATGTTTGCTTTCTTATAGAATGTAGATGAATTCATTTTTACTCAATGGAAATTAAAATTTGTTAGCTACTTAAACTGCTCTCTATCCAGCACCTTAGTTCATTGATCCGTATTAATGGACCATTTTTTTTAAAAATTTAAATGCCTCAAGAATAATTAGAAAAGGACTTAATTCTCTTCTTATCCTTAAATTCTTTATTGATAAAACCGCATTTTCAGCTATAATCATGTGAAATAATTCTCTAAGTATAATTCAGAGCAAAAAAAAATAAGATACATAAACAGCTTGGAAATGGAATTTGCATTGAGATTCTGATTAAGAAACATGATGAAGCTTACAAAACGTCTGCGAAGCGAAGTTATTTCGTAAAATATTTTATAACTCTCTATGATTAAATTGCACTGAATTACACTTTATAAACGACATAAATATAATTTAATGTGGATGTATGTGTGAGGCTCACTAGCGGCTGAGCGGTTGAACACTAGTAGGTCGATCCTGAAGTTGAGTCATTAAACACTAGTAGGTCTATCCTGTGTTCTAATCCCGGTTAACGGGATGGTTGTATTGGCGTTTTCGTGGTTTTCCCTAATGTGTAACTTATATATGAGTCAGTTTTTGCTTAGAACGTCCTCCAACGAGGCAACCTTACACTTTGCTTTTCTATAACCAAACAATATATATATATATACAGAGAGAGAGAACAAAAGGCTAATAAAGGCTCATAAGATTGAGGTTAATAAAGGATATATTGCATATATGAAATTAGGCAGTTTATGAGTCCCTGTGGCAGTATATCTCACTCTTGCAGCAACGCGTTTTCAGGTCTTGTAAGATTATCAGAGCAAGAAGACAAGTTACAATTGTCTCCCAGAAGCATTCCAGACATGTAATATAAAATTTATGCCTAGAGCTCTAGCTTGTCAATCTATTAGGTTTATATCCTCACCTTCCCGAAAATCAACCCCCAATCACTTAGGCCTATATAGATGCACGTTCTGTTACATAAAAATAAATTGAGAAGTAATTGCACCCTCTAAAGGGCGAACAAATAGAGCTGTTAGATTTCTTCCTTATACATCGCGCACAAAGCCTGTGCCAAAGACAAGTAGGCCTGTGTACCCATCCAGCATTATGCCTACCAAGACCGTCCACTCTCCGTTGTTCCTTTCTGGGATATTGGGGGACAGGTAGCAAGTGCCTGCTTCTCTCCGGATAAAGATACGCATAAAGAATCAGTGGTTAGGTTAAATCGGAACTCATCAGTGAGGAGAATGTTCTGTCGCTGATGCTTGGTCCGAACTCGATGTTCTATGCAGGTTATTAAGCGTGACCTCTTGTGCGTAAAAATGAGCAAGACGCAAACAACAAGTCTTCTTGCAAACAGGAAAGATCTTAGAGAGCTATATTAGCCTTTTAAGGAGTACATTTGTCCTTCAGTTCATTTTTATGGATAATAATTTTCGTCCACATAAGACTAATTGGTATATGATCTTCTGGAAAGTCTGGATACTAACGAAAGGATTTGTTAGCAAGATATCCAGACCCGTTTGAACCCTCTAAAACATGTCTGGGACGCTTTTGGGCGGACAGTTTCAACTTGCTTAACATTTCGAAACCTGAAAACAGCCGTGCTGCATACGTGGGACCCACAGCCACAGGGAATCATCAACTGCCTCATTTCCAGAATAAATTCACGTTATGAGAGCTGTATGACTGTTAAAAGGTACCATACCAGCTATTGGCCTTCTTTATTGTTCAATTTCCCAACCTCTGGCTTAGATCTTTATGTGCTGATAAACCTGATACATTATCATGCATGTGTACCGTGGCTATGGTATAGCATATTTTTTTGTATTAAATCAGCATGCTCGTGGCGAGCTTCCTTACAATCTGCTTGTTAGTTCTGGAAGTAACTGAACAAACGTGGTAATTCTCTTAATATTGAACAGTGTATATTTGGACGCTAGAAACTACGCGATATGTTCACCACTACAAGCAGCTGATATCTATTGCCACAATCGTCAGCATACATTTTAAAAGGAAAGGTGGGCAGTGTTGTCAGTTATGTTCATTAAAATATCTCTTTTCAACAAAATTTTCTGGTTTAGCGCAATTTACTTTTTTGATTTGCCTACAAATTAATCTCTTTCGAAGCTTAAATTTATAATATATTCAGTTCTGAATATTTATGTGTTCAAAATATTTTTATTTATTTTTGTTTATGTGTAAACTTTTTATTCTTTCATTTATGTTTTGAAAATTTGCAACTGTCCTTGAATTTTGCAGCATAATTTCAGAACTCGGAGTCATATTGACGGGTCGTACTCTAGAGGGCGCTTTGGGTTGTCTTTGGCTTCCTTGTCTGATATTAACAGAGACGGATACGGAGGTTTGTGTGGCTTTGTTTTATTAAAATTTTGAAGGAATGTTCTCACAACAAACAACTTAAGTAATTTTAGTTGTTTGTCTCTTATGGCTTTCTCTTATATCTTTTGAAGGCTCAAATATATAAACAACTTTTTTTTAAATAATCAATCTTTTAAACGACGAATGGAACGTACACTGCATTATATATATATATGCATAAGGGAATAACGATGACAATAATAACAGTAAAACCAGAATGTTCTCTCTAAACAAGTGTTTTTACCAAATCTCATTGTTAACAAGGAAAACTAACGGATTTCCCTAAAATAATCGTCATGAAACTTTTAATTTTCAGCAGTGATAAAGCATGTAAACAAAATAACAGTTACAAAACAGGGCATTTCGCAATAGCTCGCAACTTCTTGAATAGGACATACAAAGTGTAAACCCCACCCGCGATATTTACAATAATAGACTGCAAAATGTAATATCTTTGTGAGATATGGGTCATTAGAGGGATCACTTGCTGCACATATCGTATGTATATATTTATGTTACTCCACTGCATAATTATGTTAATCGAGAAGGCAGAGTTGTAAGTAAAGTTGATACGAACATTACGAGTAAGTAATGACGGTATTTGCCCTAAAGGAAGAAGCGCTTCATATATCATACATAGTAAAACTTTTGTCTGAAACCGAAGATTGTGATGAAAATATGAGTTAGATTTAAATTTGGATTAGTTACTTCTTCGGCCGATTTCTTTAAATATCGTTAGTAAAATAATGAGTACCATAATATGCACTTAATGCTGATGGAAAATGCTGGAGAATTCGTGCCCGTGCCATTGCGTTCTTTCTACTACCATCTCAAGAGTCGTGGCAAGATGCAGCATTTTGTTCAATGTTGGCCTTTGTCTTTGGCAATCTGCCATTTTCATTGCTCCGGCAGGATAAACAACTGCAGTATAGTGTGCTTGCCAGAGTATCTTGGTGCCATACGATTTGGGGTATTTCTGCATCATTTCTGTACTAATATTTGTACCACAACATGTAGATTATAAGACATTTGAGTGATTGTTAAACGAAATAGCAATTCCATAAAACTATATGCTAGCGATCGAACATTCCCGCGCTCTATGTCGCAAAGCTCAAGAAATACTCATTTCCGGATAATAAGCACGCCACCGGTCAGGATTGTGCTTGCAATGACTTATATCTCACAGGTACAGTATATCGGAAAGTCTGTGACTGCATATATTGCAAGCCCTTGAGCCACTTTATACGTCCTTTTGAGATGCGAATTGTCAAATTTTGTAATTTCTTTTGTTGGTCATATGGTTGAACATTCCTTGATTGTTTCAAGGCGATTGCCACAAGATGTCCGATAACTTTGCTTCAAGAGAAAATTATCCGGGACCTTTAATCCGCTCCAATTTATTTCTGTTTACTCTTACAACGAGTGGTATGCATAATTTGATTTCAAGTAATTGATATGTTCGTGACATGACTGAGAGTAGCCGAAATTTAAGTTTAGATTTTTGTGATTGAGACTGAAACAATTCAATAAGAAGAAATAACAAAACCATTCTTCTTATTTCTTAACATAAACTTGCACCATGTACTCTTGGGGAAAAATGATTAGCACATCGATTCAGAATGCTAAAGATCCCATACTCTTCTTCGAGCGAAGGAACAACTGATTTTCAAGCACTTCTTGCTCTCACATGCTTACAGTTCTCTATGAATATATGTTTTTATTTCAAGATGGAAATGTGTTGTTATGAGAAGTATTCTGAACAAATTTACCTAAGTTTTCCATTTGCTCTTAAAGATGTGGTACTAATTCTTCATATAAAATTTATTTAAAACAAGAGATCTTTTACACGCTTTTTTGTGGGGAGTGGGAGAAGAGGTTCCATTTTCCCTTATTTAGTTGTTAAGATAAAATTTCGAAATTATTTTTGGCCCAATTTTTATATTCTACTTAATCCGATTTTGTTAATTTTTTCTTATGTATATATTTACAATGACAAATTTTATTCCAAAGATTTTTAAACGTTCGATAAGGAATTTTATTTTAATTTACTGTTAAATATTTCTTATATATATATATTATATATATAAAAAAATCCTGATATATGTATATCCTGATACATCAAACAGTAATCTCCCAAATGATTGCATCTTCTGGATTTCTAACGTAACTTATGAAATTTTAAAAGTTTTTCAAAAATCATTCTAATTGTAGCTATTAATAACTATCTGTTGCTAACAATGCCGGATTTTGAAATAAAAAGAATGAAGTCTTTCATTGCTAGCAACTCCACGATTTTAAGAGACGATGAGATCGTGTTTCTAAGTCGAATCAAAATTTAAATAAATTAAAAACAAATTTACGCTGTCGAATAGTTCGGAAGGAAGCCCTTGAACAATGGTGATGTTAAGTGTACGCCTTTGCTACACTATTAAAAGGGAAAACAGAATTTATGTGCAGAGGCAGTGATTTTCATTCGTTATGACTTTTCCGCCATTTTAGAATAAATGTATAAATTAAGGTAGATAACACAATGCTATTTTTTATGCTTTGCATTCAGCTATGAAAAAATCTGCTTAGATGGTTTTTTAAGCATCTACCTGAAAAACCAATCTTAATTTTTTCGCTTTTATAATATTCTTGCTTACATGTGTCTAAAAATACAGATGTGAGGTGCCCGTATGCTAACTTTATTAAGACGTTAACAGAATTTCGAAGAGTAAATAGCTTATAAGGTATTTCCTTTCAGAATCATTTCGTGATGCAACGGTAGCACACTCAGCGCGTATTGAGAGGTCCAGATTCGAGTTGCGGCGAGAGCACTGCACGTTTTTTACCGCTGCTGATTATAAAAAGTATCTAATGCCTCTATAGTTCCGCCCTAACAAAAAAGTTGGGGAACGATAATTCGTCACCACCAGGGATTGGGTTCCCTAATCCCAAGTCGCCTTTTAAAAGGGAGAGTATATAAGGTATTTTCTCCCTCTTTTTCCATATGTCTTTGTGATGTAATTGGAAGCACCGTCAATACTTTTTTCGAGAGGTCCAGGTTTCGAGTCCCGGCGAGGGCACTACAAATTTTCACATCTCCAGCATCGAAAGCAGTAATGTCTCAACAAGCTTACATAAAAATAATTGCATTCAATTGAATTCAATTTTTGATTGGCAACTTTTATTTAAAATTCGCTATTTTGAAAAATCCCACGATTTTATTTTCAGTTTTGTGTGACAAGGAATACCATGACAAGAAACACCATCTGAGGCAATTACCCTTTATTTCTTTTTAGCGCAATTAGCTAAAACCGTAACTTTTAATGTACCCTCTTTCGCTATCAATATTAAAAGCATTCAATATATACATATCTATTCTTGCGCTATAATTAAGATTCGTATAACATAAGGAGTTTTATGTGATCCATATTTTATGGGATAATTTTTTAATTAATTATAGTATTTTCTAGATTGTAAGTATAATTTCTTTTGAAGCTAAAATTATTGCCTGCTTTAATTAACATATCGTACAGTGAATATTAGAAAATAGTTTTGCTATTTAATTCCATTATTCTATTGACCCAAGTTTGAACTTTTCTGTGTAATGATTGCCGCTTAATTCCTTGACACATTTCAATTCTCTGTTTAGATATCGCGGTTGGAAATCCATATGGGGGTATCGATGGAAGGGGAATAGTATTTATTTTCCATGGCTCTCAAACTGGAATCATTACTAAACCTGCACAGGTATCATTACAATTATCTGCATGTATTTTTAATTCATATTTAGTTTACGTTTAATTAAATCATGGTTTGGTTTCCTTCTTATTCCCAAATTTAGTATGTTTTATACTAAACTAGAAATCTGTGTATTAGAAATAGCCTGTATTGCTTCACATAATTAATATGATATTTAATTAATTAATATGTTAAAATTTTATATGCAGTGTTTTATTTTATGCATATTCTTACAATGTGATGAAAGATGTATTAGAATTAAACTGTGTTCTGTAATAATTGCAATAAACTGTGATATTAAGTTAAAGTAATTAAATCATGTTAAATTTCGTAGACTAACGTTAGCCCTCGTATACTAGGGTTGACAAGGAAGTAATTTCGGTTTCCACGAACAGATAGCATTATGTTCGTTTTGTTATTCCTCTGTCAATATTATAATTATTTTCTTTTCAGATTTGGCAGCTGATACTTTTATTTTGTTACAAAAATAAATTTCATGTATTTTTGTTTAAAAGGTTAGTTAACGCTCAATTTTAATATAGGGTGCAAAAATAAATATTTTCGATTCATTTTACTTTTTTATTTTCAAAAGGCAAGAAAGGCGTCCGAGGCTCATGAAAAGATATTTAAAATTCGTAATGTTGATTCCGTAACAAAACAACTGTGTCAAAATAGGTTCAAAAATTTCCCTTCTAGAAATTTTTCACTTGCCGATAACCAACATTATGGCCGACCTTCTGAAGTGGATGATGACAAACATTAAAGCCATAACTGAAATGAATTGTCATATAACTGTGCGAGAGATTGCAAAAAGGTTAAATGTATCACACACAATAACTGAAAATCATATAAGATGTCTTGGACGCGTTAAGAAGCTTCTAATTGGGCTGCGCATGAATTCGAAGAAATACACTTAACACAACGAATCAATATTTGCTATACGCGATTCAAGCATAATGCAATGATAATTGAAATGAATTATCACTGGTGATGAAAAATGGATAGTCTACAAAACATTAATCGAAAAAGATCATGGTCCAAGCATGATGAGCCAGCACAAGTATATTATCGAAATCTAAATTGCATTAGAAAAATATTATGCTGTCGGTTTGGTGGAATTACAAAGGTGTTGTGTATTTTGAACTGCTTGCAAGCAACCAGACGATAAACTGAGATGTTTACTGTCAACAACTTATGAAATTGGGGGAAGCAATCAAAGAGAAAAGGCCAGAATTGGCAAATTGCAGAGGAATCGTGTTCTACAACGACAATGCGAGGCTCCATATATCTTTAGCAACCTGTACAAAATTATTGGAGCTTCGTTGAGAAGTGATGCCACTATCCCCGTATAAACCCGAGCTTGTAACATCGGATTATCATTTCGAAGTTTACAAAACTTCTTAAGCGATAAAATTTTCAGTCATAACGATGGCCTCAAACTGCACTTAGTTGCGTTTTTGCTGATAACGAAGAAACGTTCTATAAGCGCGGAATCCTGAAGTTCCCAAAAGAGATGACAAAAGGTCATCAAGATAACTGACTGATTAAAGTTAATTTTTTGTACAAAAGTGCGCTTTATTTTACATTAAAAAAAAAGAAGTTATTTTTTTTCCAACCCGATACATTCTATACAATTTTGAAAGATAAACATGAAAATACGCTAATGATATATTTTCTCATTAGAGCTGCACTTTAGTTCGTTAAATATTTAGTTAGTAATTGATTTTAAGATCTGTTCGGTTACTACACAGGTTTATTTAAGTAAAATATTTACCTCAGAAAAAAATGCTATGCAAATATTTCTTCTGGACACAGAGGCTTCCATATTATTAGAGGAAGGTCTCCAAATTGACAGAATCGTCTTATTGGAACAAACCGTCTATGTTGGGTTTCATGACTGAAAGGAAATCTATCCATATTTTTTTTTGCATTTCGATACGGAAAGAAGACGTGCTTTGTCAAAGAAAATTTTTACTTGTTTAATTTTGGGATTGAGGAAGCAAATATCGACGCTACATTTAATATTTAAAATGAAAATAAAAATTATTATTTAGATCGAAATTGTTTGAAAATTTTGGATGTAATAATTAAATCCTTGCCATAATTTACGTGATATTCACCACTTTTCCTCCTTTTTATAAATCTAGGTGATATTTTCGTCAAATATTCCTCACATTGGCGCAGTATCTACTTTTGGTTTCTCTCTTGCTGGAGGGATGGATCTCGACAATAATCAGTATCCAGGTATATTTACTCATTTGAAAGATAATAATAAACAATTAAAAGTCATTCTGCAAGTCGAATCTTTATAAAATAGTTTGATTACCGAAAAGGGTCCTGTTATAACAATGGCATATTAATATTCTTAATGGAATTCTTATTACTTACTTTTATCTATTATTGATATGATTAAATCTTGTTCATTGTTGCTTTAAATGAATTATCCCAAAGACTAACTATTAGTTTTTTAATTTATCAGTTCAATTTCATTTGTCAGTAAATTTGATGGGAATGAATCCTGTTCATTGCAATTTTAACATAATAACATTCATATTAATTCACATATTAAAGTTTTAATTAACCATGCCTTCTGATATTTGTAGCTCCTAATTTAGGAATGGAAATGGATACCTACTACTGCGGAACATCATTCTATAATAAATTGCAAACCAATTCATTACATTACTAAAGATGCTATTTAAAAGAAATTTTCTGACGCATTTTGAATGAAACATTTTTAAAACTTTTTAATTACATTGTTAATTATATCTGGTAAAATACTATAAATTTTGGTTACAGTTTAAACTTATTTTTTGGTTCTACTCTTCATTTCGATCTGCAAAAACGTGTCTTTAAAAGAATGTTTTAAACCCACATTCTCTCGCATTTTTCTTAATATTCCTTCTATTCGTAAACCTTAAATCTGAAACTCAAGACCTCCTTGTGACAAAGTAATTGTGTTGTAAATCCTGGACGTTGTATTCATTAACGGCTATTTGTGCCTTATTATATTAATTATTTCAATGGTTTTTGTTTTTCTTTCTTTCTTTTCAGATTTTTACAATCGATATTAAGAACCTTTCTATCCATAAGATAAAGTAAAATCAGATAATAGTTTTCTAATTTGGACTATAATTATATAAATAATAAATGAAATGTTTTCGTTTAGATTTACTCATTGGAGCATATGCATCAGATATGGCAATATTCTTAAGGTAAATACGTTAAACATTTTATATACTAATAGCTTTTCTCTCGTTTGAAAAAAAGTTATATTAATCTAAAACCAATGGATATTAAATATTGATAGTTATTCTTAAAGTTAATTAAATTGAAGATTTTTGATTTTTAATTTTTGAATAAAAGCGCATTATGTATTTGTTAATAATTTTATTTAAGATTCATAAATTTGTCACATTACATTTCAAAAAAAAAAAAAAAAAGAATTTATGGTACAGATTTATATAACGATTCAAATAGTTCATCACTGTAAAAGGAAACATTAAAACGTTTTCGATGTTATTTTTTATGAATTTTTCTAATGATTTAAATGCAAGTTTATTCAAAGTATGAAACAATTTTTCTTTTAGAGTCTTAAGAGATGTTAAGCCATATGTTGTTTAACTGAGCACACCTCAGTCCTGAAAAAATGTTCTCATTGTAAATTCTAGTCTTCCGTTAACTTTTAATGTTTACAAAGTCGTTTTTAATTTCTCTAGTTTCCCTCGAAATAATAATCCGAAAACTTATTATGAGCTGTACTATAAATAACGTATAAGATACGAAAAAGGCTTACCTTAAGAGCGTTAAAGAGTGAAAATTGTGAATTTGCTTTTCGCAAACTTTGAGCATAATTCTCTATGGATATAATCCACTGATTTTATAGCCATTATATCGAGAATATCGAAAATATTTTTGAGATTTCATTATTCTTTGAGGTATTTTTATTAATTTACTTTTGTTTCTTATTAAGTATATCTTTAAGTTGCTTTAATTAGCGATAAAAATAATGAAGTTGTAAAACTTCTCATATGGATATTCCAGTTGTTAAACTTTCCAACGTTTTATGGAGGAAAATTATTATATGAGAAAGAGAGAGAGAAAAAAAAAAAAAAAAAGGCATTGCGCTAAAAACGTTTGTAGCAAAAATGTTAAAATTTTGTGTCCCGTAAATATGTAACAATTGAGTATTAGTAGATACATTTATGTAGCAATTTCATGTCAATAGATGGCAGCACAAGCTCAAACTTTCACTTCTTCAGTGCAGTGGTTTTATTATTTATTACATACTCCAGTATTAGGCACATTATGGAAAGGGTGGGATGCCCCTTGGAGACTTTTTAACGGAAACTGGCTCGTACCCATGTTACACATGGGGAAATACCGAGAAAACACAGATGCAGTCCGCCGTTCGCTGGGACTCGGACCGAACAACGTAATGTCCACCACCGACTGACTGTTCCATCAATCGGTGGGCCTTAACGTAGTGATTGTCAACTTTTTTCCAACTTATGCAATCCTTTTCACCATTGCTAGAAGATAATTCTTTCCCTTTCTAAAACTAAAAAATACCGTATACCATCTATTTAGATTTATATTATTTTCTAATGTGTTTTATAAATTAAACAACAGATGGTATAGAAAATATTGGTAAATGCCAAATTTGAGTAAAGTAGTTTTTTATATTCATAAACTTGGGGGCGGAGGGAAAATTCCCTCTTATTAAAAACTCCTGGTTTAGTGTAAATGTAATTCTGTGTGCAGTGTACGTAGTAAAAGTTCTGAACTACATCTTATTCTCATATGGTTATTTCATTTTTAAATTTAATGATTATTTGAAATTAATTTTTAAATTTATCTTTTTTTTTTTTTTTTTAAAGTTTTTTGTAAATGTCTTATAAACTTTTGGGTTTGAAATTTCTGACACCTAACTGTCACTCTGAGACAAAGGCTGCTGCCAGATCTACTTAACAGTTTCTTAGATTATTATATTAAAAAAAAAAAAATACTTTCAGATGTATTGCAAATTACTCATGCTTATTTACTTAAAACAGTTATATACCCAGCGGCCGAAGGTAAAGTCGCTGAACCTGGTAGTTCTTTCCGAGGCTCGAATCCCACGAACGGGCTGGCTGCATGGGCGTTTTCGTGGTTCTCCCCATGTGCAACGTGTGTGCGAGGCAAATAGCCTCTTAGGCAGATATGTTGATGGTGTAGAATGTATAACTACTGCATTTCGTAGATGTTAATCCGTAATGAAAAGCAAAATAGGCAGCCAAGGTAGTTTAAATATTCATCTTTATTTTAGTTTATATTTGTGGCCACAATTCACTTTACACTGTAATCGAGCCTATTCAAGAACATTTACATTTTTAATACTGTTGCTATTAGGAAGAGAGCAGTGAGACAGCATCTTAGCGAGAATAGAGGACCAAAGCTTTTTGGTTACGGAGTAACTTTGCAAATTAATTGTAATTACTTCCACATCATAATTAAGAGAAACGAATTAAATGAGATTAAGCATTAGCTAAAGAGACAAGAAAGAGAACAGTTACGGGTTTGATATAGGAGCAGAGGCAGAAGCAAAAGTGCGCAATTCCAATATGGCAGCATATTAAGAGAAAAGTTTAAGTAACAAATTAGCTACATCATAGCCTCTGCCTGTCTTCCTATGAACACACTATTTCGCTGTGCTCTCTTCTTATCACAACAGTATCAAAAATGTAATATTTTAATGTGTAAATTTTAATGTGTAATATTTTAATGTGTGTGTTTAATTTTTAAAATGTATATATTTTGGAAATAGGCACGATTAGAATGCCAAGTGAATGCGGCCACAAATGTCATTGAAATAGAATTGAATATTTAATCTTACTCGGCTGGCAAGTTTCCTACTCATTACGGATTCAAAATATTAACACTCTGCGCAATTAGAGTTCTGCCTCTTCAATATGTATCTATGTTCTAAGCTAAGCTACGTAGTATGCCATTTTTTCTCGTTTTCATCTCATACATATATATGCATAAATACACGCACACACATATATATCTATATATATGCATTTTAAACTTTCTTTCGTTTTATTTACTTCATAAAAAGGGCTCACAACCTGTGAATTATTCGACCTTAGAATGATTATGTGAAGGACATCTAAGTGGTGTTTGAAATCACGTGACCCAAAAAACTGAAAAAATTTAAATTTTAGCGTCATGTAAACACCGTAAAATCAATAATACCACTTCCTGATTTATATTTATTAAATATAATAGTTAATATTCTTACAAGCATATAAATAAGACACATATGTTTATTATAATAAAACTTAACTTCATCTATAATTTTGTAGCGTATTAAATAAAAATATATAAAATATGATTTATACGTTTTACATTTTAGTTTGAATACGCCACTTCAAAAGCGCTAAAGTAAACAATAAAGTTGGGTAACCAATGTTTTATATAGTTATGATATTTTATCAGTTTTTAATAATATATTTCAGTTCAAATGCATTTAAATACTAAAATATGTTTGAATATGTGCAGATCCAGACCCATAATTCAGACAAACGCCAGCTTAAAGATTAACCCAGAAAAAATAAGCTTAGATGAGAAAAGTACAACAAGCTGCAAATTACACGATGGCATGATAGTATCTTGGTATGTGAACCTTACTTATATTGTCTATGTAATTAGCAGGATTAGTAATTTAGCAATAATTTTATAATTTTCAATAGAAAAAGAAAATAATCAAACGTAAAACTTTGTTACATTCCGGAATATTTTCTATATTTTTATTTTTGTAGATTATACCCTGATTTTAGGCAAAGATAAATGCTTAAATTAAAACAATATTATCTAATTACTAGTAAACCCGCTAAACTTGCTCTAACCCGCTAAAAATCTAATTTTTTTTTCTGGAAAATAGGCAAAGGAAGAACCTTTAACTAATTTGTCTTCTAATATATTTTTAGCGTCGTTGTTTCATTCTGTTTGGAATATACCGGTATCGGTGTACAGCCTGCAATAGGTATGTTATTTATTATTAGTCAAGCATTTTCATGGATTTTTATAAGTTTCATAAGTTATCGATAAAATACAGGGTGCGGCAGGGAAACTACCTTATTTTAGAAATGAATAATACAAATAGTATAAGCGATATCAGTTTAATTTTTTTCTAACTTATAGAGAGACACTTAATATAATAATAAAAATAACATCATAAAGTGGCTTTCGTTCTGTTCAATGCACTAAGATAGTCGAGTTTTGAAGTTTCTTTCCACTTTTACCAGCATATCAACGGGTATGTTGTCGATAGCAACTTGAATATTGTTCTTCAGTTGAGCCAGGGTCTTTGGACGTTAGAGATTTCAAATAGCTTCACAAAATGAAATCACACGGGGATAAATCAGGCGAGCGCGCTGACCACTGACAATCGCTTCGTAAGGAGATATGCGTCCAGGAAAATGTTCTAAAAAAGTCATGGTCCAATGATGCCTATTTTGGACAATGCACACCAAACAGTCACACGTCTGTATGGAAGGGTTTCTCATGAAATTCTTGGGGATTCGTGTCAGTCCATTATCGCATATTTTGCTTATACATGCTGCAACCGGAAAGATGAAAATGAGCTTCATTGCTAAAGAACACAAGGGCATCATGAGGCGTATTGTCAAGAACGGCTTTGCATGCATTGTTTCGTGAAAGAAAATCACGTGGATTAAGGTTTTGCAGCACTACCAATTTATATGGATGCAAATGCAGTACGTTGAAAAGTACGACTCCACGGAGAACGCGTCCTCCTCTCTCGTTTCATTATCAGTACTAAACCTAAATGGCATAAAACTTTAGATACCGCTCTTTTCAATGAGCGCCACCCCACCTTTCTCGGAATAAAATGTCGCTAGATGGCGCGCGTTTCAAATAAGGAAGTTTTCCTGCCGCACCCTGTAGTATTGTTTTATCCTTGAATAAAGAAAAAATTTTTGAGACAACATTTTCTGTATTAATTTAATAATCATGTTAGTCTTTGAATTAAGGAATAAGATAATGTTCATTTAATTTAATAAAAGTTAACTGAATATACTGAAAGATATAAACGCTATTGTCTGATGTTTAAACATTAATGATAATTGGTTTGTTTAATTGTTGCTAAGTTAAAACGAAATATTTGTCTCATGTTTTCCATTTTATCTTGTAAAAGGATTGTTTAAAAATAAATGCAAAAGATTTAGAATGAAATAAAATATTTTATAAATTTCTAGATTAAGTGCCTGATTAGCTGAAATTTAAGAAATTTAATTGAAAGGTAATCAAACCTGCGCTTGCTTATTGAATTTAAATAATGCCAATAAAGCTTCTCATTTTCATTTTCTTCATATTTTCAGAACTCTGCAGTTTAAATGTGCTTCTAATAATTCAAGCGATTAAAATTATTTTTGAAGAAAAAAATAAAATTTATAGAAATTTAATAAAGATTTGCAATAAACAGAATGTTTTTAACATTTACGTAAAAACATATTTCTGCAGTTTTTATTTAATGATTATTACAAAGTGTTCGCAAAATATAAACAAATTTTATCATAATTATTGGCATCTAATTTTAGAATCTGATAGGTTGGTATTTGAAGGTGATTTACGTATTTGTCGAAAAAAATTAAACTATTTTTAACTGTGCTTTAATTATACATTTTACCTCTACAGGTTTCGTTTATCGTATGAGACTGGATACCGCAAACCAAGCTTCAAGAGTTTTTTTCTTGACTGATGAAAATCAAAATGAACAAAATGTTTCAGTCAATCTTAGGAAAGATTCCAAATATTGCAAGAGCATTTATGTTTACTTACAGGTACTTTATGAGTTTCACATTCTGATGTTAGATCTAAAATCCTTTCATAATAATCCTGAATTCCTTTGAAAGATTCGTGACATTTCTAACTGTTCTCAATATTTTTTTTTCAGAATTGCTTTGATTCGTTTTAATTGCGTCTTTTACAGCAGTTTTTCCCTTTTTACTTCCTTGTACGAAGAAAAAAGGAAGTATTGTAATCGCGAAAAGTTTCAGGCAGCATATTTCAACGAAAATATCCATTTGGACCGCTATCGAATGCAATTTAACGATGTTTTTGCGTGATATCTGTACGTAAGGATAGAATAAAATACTCTTTTCCTTCAAAAAAATTATAAAACTGCTTTAAAATTAATTCTGAAGAGAATTTTTCGTGGCGTCTGTACGAACGTATGTACGTACGTACGTACGTTCGCATAACTCAAAAACGAGTAGCCTCAGAGCGCTGAAATTTTGTATATAGGACTGCTATAACATGTAGATGTGCACCTCGTATTTTGGTTGCAATCGGCCGCACCAAACGTATGCAAATATATTTATATATATATATCCACTCTATTACCCGGCTCAGTGATCTCGGTTTCTTTACTCTTATATGTTTGTAAATTGTACATTTTTTGCTTTAAAAATGATTGAATTATGTTGTTTCTATCTTCCGGTTAAGGATTTTATGCCTTTAGTAAATCTGTGTGCAATAGTTTTTAGAATTATCAGCAATTTTAAAGTTGTTTAATTGCCGCTAAGCCTGTTTTTAATGGCGGCCATTGATGTTTACATTTGAAACAGGAGACTAGTGGATTTGTTGCCAATCTAGAGAAACTTAGCTTCACAACAACAAAGATAACGCATTCATTTATTATTGCCAATTAAATCATGCTTAATTCTTTCTGGAATTTTTTCCGAGGAAATAAGCGTTTGAGATTTACTTCGTAATTTTTAATATAGATATTTTGAGTTTTTATGTATTTTTGCCTTCTCGCGAAGTGAGAACTGAATTAATTAAATGAGAAATACTCAATCGTCTGTGAAAAACTGTTTCTTTTTGTTTTGTTTGCTTAATTTCTTTTATACATAGTTCTAGCTTTATTATAGTATTTGAATAGAACATGTGGCAACGATTAGATAATTCTTTAAATGATATACATTTTGTGCATTCTGAGTTATAATATGAATGAAATATAATACTGTTAAGTAAACCTAGCGCCAGAGTGTCGCTATGATAAACAAAGGGAATTTTAAAGAATGCATTTTTTCTATTGTGGTTTATGCGCTGTCGGCGAAGTAGGTTTAATTCAATCTAATAAGTTTAAATAAAATGCAAGAAAAAATGCGTATAATTTAATATTCCGTACAAGGAAGTCATGTGGTGTACACATCAGATTTTTTTCCTTTAATAACACATAGGCTTTGTTTTTCTGATTGTAATTTAAAATGCAGTTAGCTAAAACTCCGATTATTAAGTTTTTGAACCATTATATAGCTGACTGATTTATGAGTAACAGAATTTTTGATTAATTTATTTGGACGAATAATAATCAATATTTGGACGAATAATTTATAAAACTTAACTATTTTATAAATTTTTCACATTAAATGCTTAATAAATTTAAATAGAATTTCAGTATATTTAGTAAATTTCCAAATATTGCTTACTAATTTCATTAGGAACGTTTGCTATGTATTTGATACATATGTAAGATAAAAAAATATGTAAATCAGCTTTATGATTTAATTTAGCAATAGACTTTTAATTCCTCATTTCTAATTTGGGTGTTTCCTCTCTGTATTCTAAAAATAGCAATAACTTTTCTGAACTGCATCGTTTCTAGATCAATCTATGTCACATGGCTTGCGCAAACCTGATGCCGTAGCTAATTCGAAATCTGAACTCAAAATTTCGAGAACTGAAACTTTTCTCTTAGTAAGCAACCTAAACCTTTCCGTCCTGAGCCTTTCCACACTGGAGAATTACGAGGTTTTGCTTCTACCTCTGTTGCCGCTAAGCCGCTAAATCGCTCTTTTTCTATCGCAACAGTATCAAAATGTAAATATTCTGGAAAATAGGCACGAAAATAGTGCCAACTAAATTGTGGCTACAAATGTCAATTGAAATAAAAATGGATATTTAATCTTACTCGGCTGCCATATTTCCTCTTCAATATGGACCTACGTTCTACGCCATTAGCATTGCTAAGTCTTTATCTCCTTTGATAAATGTAGTTAGAATTCTATTCAAATTAAGTAACTTATAAGCATATTTAAAAACTGAATCTTGAAAAATACTTTTAAATAAAAACATCAAAAATGAATCTTAAATAAAGTAAAAATTAAAACTTTTAAAAAGGGAAAACTAAAATTAAAAATGTAATCAGTAAACCAAGTAATTATCGTCTAACCAAGTAATTATTGACTAGAAATTAGTTGGCCTTTCAAGGGAAACAAACCACCTTCCAATCCGTTAACAATAATTAATAAATGCGAAGGTGTTTCGTCTTTTTCTCAAGAATTGCTCGTATTATGTCAAAAACGTCATTTAGTAAGATGAGTTTAAGCTAAGTAAGTAGAGTTCAAGTGAGAAGAATTGAAGTAAAGTGAGATGAATTAATTAAATTGTTTACTAGTAGATTTTACTAGATTTTAATAAGCTAAAAATTAGTTTCATATTTTGTGTTTATTCATTTAAACAAAATCTTGTTTTACTTTTAGAATAATGTAAGGGATAAATTAACTCCCATTACTGTCGAAGTTACTTATACACTCTATGATCCTTATCCTGAGGTACTGGACTTAAAGCCAATTTTGAACCAGTATCTTTCCAATAACATAACCAGGCAGGTTTGTATATTTACGTTCATTAATATTTTAAAACCTTTTTTTTTTGTAATATGGTAGATAAAGATTTATGCTTTATATTTTAACGAAGAATATGAACCGTTATCATAAAAGTCCGTATGTGATCTTTATTTTCTCAACCGTTGGTGGTAAGCATAAACTTCCAAATACAAAAATATTTCAAAGGACGTAAATATTCATGGTTTAGCATTTTAAAATTTCAAAATCAGTTTTATAAAAAATTACGAAATCTAATTTTTGTACGGTTATTTGGTCTTATATTTAGGAACTTTTGCACTTTTAAATGATAAAACCCACATGGTTGACTCCCATGCAACAAAAATTGACCAAGATATTTATTTTAAAGTTTTAGGATACTAGAAAAAATTCGGGGTATTTTTCAAATGGCATACAATAATATTGTTTTGCGATTTAATAATGTGTAACATTCTTTAATTCGTAAAGAATTTTCAGAGAAATAATGGCTAGATTTTTTTAAATGCTAAAAATGTATTTTTAATATTCTCAGCATTTTTATTACTTTAGAATCACAATAACCGTATAAAAAATTCCTTAAACTGGAATATTATGCTTTTTTAAAATTTTTGCATGTAAATTTTACTGTTTGGCTGTGTGTCAATACTGATGTTTGCCACTGTTTTCTAGACATTGATGTCTATAAAATTCTGTGAATAAGATCCCCGCTTTGAAAAAAATTATATAGTGCAAACGTTTTCAGGATATTCAGCATTACAGTGCTTGTCATTTAATCTGTTAATATCAAAAACGTTTTCTAAACACGTATTTAATTTCTATTCGCTCAAAAATTCAAAAATTGGCTTTTCAGTTTCTGTATGCCCCCTGAGTATGATTTCAAACTTTAAATCTAAACATCTCTGCCATTTGTTTTCCTTCGGGGTGTGAAAAAGAAGAACATTGGTTACAGTGCACATTGTTATAACACATTGCTTATACATCAAAATATAAGTAGGATATTTCAGTTTGAAATCTTTTTTCGTGAAGGAAAACATATAGGCTGACTGTTAAGCATTCTATGCAAAGAAAATAGACACATGGTGAAATAGTTGTTAAAGAGTGAAAACTTAGAGTATTTACTTCAGTTAGAATTATCCAGTGACTAGTAGTTATAAAAAAATATAAAGGTATGTAATTATTCTTACAGTTGAAAACTTTCTCCTGCTGTGTAATTTAAATATTATTCTAGCATTGGTGAATGTTAGGATATCTTTAAATGCATTTTCCCTAAGGGACTATGATTCAGCATTCTACATAAGTTTTGGTAAATTTTATAATACTATATTTTTAGCTACACAAAAAATAATCATGAAACGAATATTTCATATTAAAATCTACTAAGAAAATCTCCACACCGATATCAAAGCATTCATAAATGAGTAAAGCAATAATTCATGATATGAAACATGGAAATCATATTTGAAGTGTGTATAATGTGTATCATAGTCCGAGATTTATTTGTAGTTTCTATCCACATAAAAATGGAAACTTTTGAGTTAGTTTGGGATTCGTTACAAATTTTCAGAATCCAAATGTCTATTTGAGTGAAATGTAAAATACTATACATCTATGAAATATTTAACAATTCCTCCTATTTATTAGATAAATATCCAGAAGAACTGCGGAAAGGATAATATCTGCATTCCAGACTTAAAAGTACAAGTTGTGCCGTAAGTTTTGCATATTTCAATTACTTTCCCTAAAATGTATTAATGTATTGCGTAATTTGGTTCTTAATTTCAGCTTGCAATTACGTATGAAAGATTTTTTTATCAGTTTATAAAAAGAAGGAATTTTTATGAAGAGCGTTTCTACGATTTCGGCGGGAGAAAAAATAATAACGAAAGCTTTTAACTTGACACAATCCTACTTGATTGCCTGATTACATATTTTAACAGCCAGTCTTGTTTTAAGATGTAGATAAAAGCAACTAAAAAGCGTTAACTTTTGGTGCAAGTGTCCTTTGGTCTAAAACTGAGATAAATCTTGCACCTTTAAGATGATCTGTTTCTGGATAATAATAATGACCTATAAATACTGAACAGCAGAATGAAATATTCTGAACTGAAATTCTGTATATGTTTGTATATTGCATATATTATCTTCATTAATTGCAGAGTATTTAATAATTTAAAGAATTCCACTGAACTGATAAAATCCACCTTTGAGACGACGGCAATCTCCCGAGCAAACTTTGAGCATGGGTTTCATTCGTAACACATTGTAGAGAAAGGAATCAGGTAAATTTAAAGGCAGATTTTAGCATTTAACAGAATATCTGATAGAGAAGGCAAATAAAAAAAGAAAGAAAAGAAATTGACTGCATGCTCTCTGTTCCAAGCGCCTGCTAGGGTTTTGTGCGTTGACTTAATATCCCTTTCGTAGCTCGGCATTTTTTTCCCCCAAAAAGATCTATTATGAAATGTAAATAAAATAATAAAATATATGTAAAATGTAAATATAATAAAATATAAAATCGTAGACAAGATGATAAACAATTTGTGTTTCGTGAGAGAAATGTTAGGCAAGGACAAAATTCGAAATCAAATTCATAAGCATACATTCACTTGTACAAAATGCGGAGAATCAATTTGTCTATTTAATATTCAATATTGGTCAATGCCAGAGCCTCAATTTTGTTATCAAAATTCACAAAACCGTACAAACATTCAACGACGGCATTCAACAAGCAACTGAGCCGGAACCACCTACCAGACGAGAATGCGCGAGAGTGAGGATACACAGCCACTCACTGTGCATGCGTACAACGTATGACATCACCTAAATTCTTTTAATCACTCACATGTGGCTGAACCTTAATTCCAAATCCTAAACTTCATTTTGTATTTTGTTATTAACATCTTTATCTATCAAGCAAAACATAATCCAATTCTGAACCCGAAAACCCAAAAAAGTTTCCTTAACCCAAAACACCTTCGCGCCGACTGTCACGTCTACGTGCCAGCAACGAACACACTTACTTCCCGGCCGACACGCAGGCGTGCCAGAGCATTTTCCCGTTCTCTACCGACTGTCACGTATTTGTGCCAGTGTCCTGGAACGTTTTCAAACTATAATTTCTGCCACAAGATGGCACTGTATGTCCATATGGTTTCAGATACATGTACATTAGACCTTCTACTCGAAATGAGAGAAGCAGGACTCACATACACGTGTTTTTGATTATATAAACAAAAGGGGAAATAAATGTTTCCGAACGGCGTGATTTATGACGTCTCTTTAAATCGCACTTTATTCGCACGTGGTAGTTGTTTATTTAAGTAGAGAAGTTTTATTTGCGCTAAAGCGTTGGGTATTTCGGTTTGCAGTTCAGTTTTTAGAAAATAATTAGATCTTGTTAGACGTGAATTCTTTCTGTTTTTACCGTTGCAATGTCGAAGCGTCGAAAATGTTTAACGGAGCATGAAGTAGCAGAAATGATGCAAAATATTTCAGATATTGATTCTGAAATTCTGATATTCTGATATTGATTCTGAAAGATTAACTGAAAGACATTTTCCAAAACTTTGTTCAGAAGAGACTGATAAGAAAATGAGACGACGATGCTTCGTTTGTTCACATTCCCGGAAAAATCCTCCAAAACGGCAAATGAGTTATTACGATTGCAAGGAATGTAACGTAGGACTGTGTGTAGATCCCTGTTTTCAAATTTTTCATACGAAAAGAGAATTTTAAGTAATATACTTAGTTTTCAGATGTATAATGTCAAAAGTCATGAAATGGTGAGTAATGAAAATAAAATGTGTAAAATATGCTTTTAAACAAGAAATAAGGTAATTAAAGTATATAGTATAAAAATATCTATAAAGCATAAGCCGTTTAAATACTCTATAGAGCATTATTAAACAATGCGTTGATACTTCGGAAATTTCATGGATTTAGGCTTAGTAGCAAAAAAGCCCCCGGCCCTGGACAGACGCTCGCGTAAGACACTGCCGGCCTCCGCGGTAAGCGCGCGTTTGCGCTACCCGGCTCTAATCGGTTAACCCCAAAAGCGTCATAATTTTTCCTTCCCATAGACCACCATGGAGGAACGAAAGTCCATGTAAAAAAGCAAAAAATAAATAAATAAAATGATAGAAATAAAAGTAGCCAAAGGAAAATAATCGGAAAGAGTTCAAATTTTAACGATCGTCCAAAAGGAATTGTTAAGATTCTTTAAGCAATTGCCGAGCTCGCAGTCTGCCAGTCTGCTGTTGCACTCACTCCTGCTAGCTTTATTATTAAGCACCGTTTTCTTCGCCATGTACAATTCAAGAGTATAATTGCGAAAAGTTTAAAAGCAGCATAACAGTATATGTTTAAAATTCCCAGTACAACGTTAAGTGTTGGCGTATGATATTCTGTTTTGTTACAGTTTTTCTGGTTTTATCATATTAATGTTCAGATTTCTAAGTAAAATGGCTTGCAAAACTTTTTTTGCGTCTTTTTTTATTATTAAAGTTTTGTATATTAACTTTATTTATCAAATAACACGTTCTTCGCACTGAAGCCACATAAAATTCAATTCAACAGCAAAATCTCAAAATATTTTCAAACAGCACATCTTTCGAATTTCTGACAGACAGGTCGCGCACTGGAGATAAAAATACCTTAATTCAGTAGAATGTTGCCACTGCTAGCTTTCAAATCGTTGAGAATGTTTAAAGTTTTACATAATTTGAAATAAAAGAATGAAAAAAATTCTGAAAGCTTTCAGATTCTACAGGATGTCCAAACCGGCGTTTTTTCTTTCATTTACAGACACATATACATTTCGACAGCATTTGGGCTAATGACATACTGTGTTATAAATATTTAAAAACAGCATATCTTTAGAATTTCTGATAGACAGTCTGGCGCACTGGAGGTAAAAATGTTTTAGGCCCTACAATGTTGCCACTGCTCACTTTAAAATTGCTAAGTTTTATAATAAAAAATTCTTCACAAAATATGAAACAAGCAATAAAATAAATTCAAAATTCCAACTTTGGGCTTCCAGGGACTCATATTCGGATGGGGGATTATGCTTATTCAAAATTTGATGAATCTAGGTACCGTTGTGATTTCACATTGTGAGAAAAATACATAGATTCCTGTAGAATCTTCATTATTTAGTTTCTTAAAATATAATATAGGGGGAGATAATATTTGGTGGCAACAATTTGAATAGTGATTCAACGCAAAATGCCGTTTTGAGACAAACAGCCTTTCTGTGCTAACGCCCATTTGTGCTAATAAAAGTCGAAATTCAAAATTTGAGCTTCCAGGAGCACATGGTAGGGTGGAGAACAACGTTATTCAAAATTTGATGGCTCTATGTACCGTCGTTTTTTCACAATGCGAGAAGCATATGTACACACATGCGGATTCTTCATTATTTAATTCCTTTAAAAGTAATAGGGGGCAATAATATCTGGTGGCAATAGTTTCAAAAGTGATTCTCCGTTTACAGTGGACTATGCAAAATCCCGTTTCGACAATAAAAGCCCATTCGGGATTAAAAAAAAGAAAAAGATTTTCTCCTGTTCGTGTCTCAGCTGAAATTTACTCTTTAACGGGGTTATTTAATATTGGTACAGAAAGTGAAAACTTGAAGACTGAATTCAAACTCCACTCTCTTCTATTCTTTTATTGAAATCAGGTTTGTGCTCTGTTTTTCGATAGATTAGACTAATATTTTGTGCCGGGTGTATTTCGATTTCTTTCCATGTACCTTAATATTCATGCACAATCAGTCAAAAAAATGGAATAATTCCATAAATTTTGTATTCTTATCAGATTCAAAACTTACGTTTAATGTCACTTAGTTGTATTTTCAGGGAGACTGCTTTTCATTCCCTAAATACTTTTAACTGCAAATCAAGCTTAAAGTAATACCCAGAGACAGTACTTGAGCTAAAACGCGCTTATTAAATGATAGTGTGCAAATAATTTAAATCTTGTTATTTTGGTAATTTTGAAGACATGTAAATTACATATTAAAACCACATTTTTAAAATTATCTGTAATATTATGATAAAAACTCTGTGGGAAACTTTCTTTGTAAAAGTGTTAATATAAAATTCATATATTTTTACTAAAAGACGAGATGTGAGCCGTCATACTCTTAAACTTGGCTTATATTGTTAAATATTTAGTTTGAAATTGAGCTCTAGGATATAAAGACATCGTGCATAAGATTTTCCCTTTTATGGAAAAAAGGGATTAATCAATCCAAATACAACCAAGTTTCAGTATATCAAAATTGCAAGAACACGCCCGTCAGCAAACAAATATTAAAAAATCGACTTTGAATCCGTATCAGTTTCAAATATTCACTTCGATATTTACTTTAACTTACCTTCGAATATCTATTTGGGGTACTTTTCCATTTCGCCGGGGCAGACGGCAAAGTCGCCAAAAATGGTACAACCGATGCCAAACGGAATATCCTCGCTGGTAACCATTTACACCTCATTTTCGATACAAGTCGCAGCCATTTCTTATCAGATTGATTGTTTCTTTCAATACTGTTATACAATTACATAAAAGTTTTACCAAATAGTTCAATTTTATGCCCTAAGGCCATTCGTGGTAATTAAGTCAATTAGGATGCAATCACACCGCTCACCCGAAGGCGAAAATATAGAAAAGGAAAATATAGAAAGGGTTAAATTCATCAGTTTTAATGAAAATGCACTAGCGAAGTAAAGCACGGCGGTTTTACATAATTTCTGAGTAAGCTGTTCTTACGAATTGAAATAATTCTTGCATTTAAACTTGTATTCCAAATTAAGATTTAACTTGAAATTAATGTAGATAATTACCGAGAGAATTAGATTTTTGTAGGGTAGTTTACGTGAGACGATATCACTTGGGATCACGTGATATGAACCGGCGAATCAGGATGTTGAACCATGAAAGCATAGTAAATTCTTAATTTAATGTCTTTTTACAAATTTATTGTATTTTTACAAAATTTTAAACTATATTAAAATCTTTATCCCTTCAAAACAAAAAATTCTTAGTTAGTTCATTTGTTAACATTTTTTATGTGTATTCTGTGTGTGTCGCCAATAAAGTCCGCTTGGCGAGATTTGCGCCGGCGTAACGGAAAAGTACCCTATTTTTAAGATTATCATTCCTACTAACGAACGTTCAAGTAATCAAAATTTTAGTGTGTGTTCACAGTATGGCAATTAAGTGATCAGAGTGTATTAAATAACAAACACGTTGCAGAGTTTACTTTGAGCAACTTTCTGCTTTAGTACAAACAGGACACGTAGTTAAAGGCAAGGCTCGTAAAGGTCTGTGTCTAGCACGGCTGTAAAAGCAGAATGTTGCAGTCCCGTTAGCTCTTCCATGACAGGAAAAACATTCCTTTAAAAAGACACTTGAGTTTCGTGAAGCAAAAATAATCGCAAGGAGACGAATCTAGAGAATACGCGGTATGACTAAGTACAGTTACGTATTTTCAGAAGAGAGAGTTTTTATGATGTGGTTATTGACCTGTGAAAGATGGATTAGCGTGGAATACAGCGGTTTCCGAATGAATAACTTAAGTCTGAAAAACATGTGCTTAGTTCTCAGCTATTTAGGCCAGCTACTCAACAAAACGTTGTAAGCTGAAGTATTGTTTTGACATCTCAGCTTGCTAGATAAACCTTAAGTCACTTAATCTAAACAGCTGTATAATTTTCCCATGGTGAATAACGCAAGGAGATAAACGTCACATCTTTAGATTAGATTCCAAGAATACCAAGTGATCGCAACGATAGCTAAAGTGTATTAAATAACAAACACGTTGCAGAACTAAGCGTTTATTTTTATTATTAAATGAAACTAAGCGTTTATTTTTATTACGGATTACTAGTTTAAAAACTAACGCGTTAACAAAACTTTGCTGCTTGTGCCTGAGAATGTAACGATACTTTAAATATTTGCAAATCAAGAGTTGAATTAGATTTTGTAGGCTATTATAATTGGGAACTAGAATTAAATTCCTGCAGACCGTACTAGACAGATAGCGAGTCATTGCTACGTGTTGAACAACTCATAAAATACAAAAGATTTAAATAACCTTTTCATTTTACTCTAAGTTTAAACATTAAGGTCCAGCTTGTGTTACAGATGAAATTTCCACAACATGCGGATAATTTAAATTAACAGAACAGACAATTAAATCGAACATCGATAACGTAGTCTAAGACTACACATTAAATCGAATAAGTTAGTTCATATATTTTGCCGGTGCGTATTTAAAACATCAGCTAGCGGGAATGCTAAAGCCAGAATATCGTTTTTAAATAGAGATGGCGTAAAATACAAACAGCAAGGCGCGATTGTCAGAAGCTCTCTTAACTGGAGATTCAAAACTCTCAGTTTAAACACTTGTAATAATTAGTTAATTAACATAACATACTTTACAAATCGTATAACATAGCTTTTAATTTAAACGGTTCCGCTATTGATCGAGCTGTTAAAGCCCGCTGGTAGATTTTCGCGGAACTCAACCCAGACGAATGAGCTGGCTCCATGGTTTTCCTGATTTTCCCATGTGCAACTTAAAAACGAGCCACTTTTCCTTAGAAAAATCCTCCATGGAGGCATACCTCCCTTAGGCAGAAAGCTTCTATGTGCTTTGCCATATTTAAATAACCCAATTTCTTCTTTTGCTTTCGTCTTCTTTTTCTTGCAGATATGTCTAAAAATACATCTACTTAAGGATGACTGTAAAAATGTGATAAGTTAATAACTCAACAAGTTTTGCAAAAAATTTATAAAAATTAATAAAAGATACAGATTTTAAAAGCAAATCAGAAAATGTCTGCGAATTTTATTTGGATTGAACCTAAATTTCGAATTGTGAAAGAAGGAATCAAGTAAGTTGAACAAAAAAAAGAGATAGTAAATATAAAAAAGAGGTATTAGTAAATATATACGTATCCTTACTAATATTATAAATGAGAATATGAGTTTGTTTGTTTGTTACGCTTTCACGCCTTAATTACTTAACCGATCATCATGAAATTTTCAAGAAATATTTTTGATATATTAGAAAAGGTTATAGGCTATAAAATGTATTCGTACGACTTAAATTAGCCGAAATATTAATTAAAAACTACGTTTTTCCTACATTTTTCACTTACTTTGTTGAATTTTTCCCTATTATAGGGATTTGGCTACGCGCCAATTAATTTTTTCACAAATATCTATGGAACGGCGGTTAGTTGAATTTTGAGACACATAATCCCTGATTAAAAAAATTCGTCGCAATCCATCGATAACATTCTCATCTTTGTAGGACGTTAATAAGCTGAAATATTAATTAAAATCTCTGAAAACGCTAATTTGAATGAGACTCAATAGCGACATTAGGGATATTTTTTCTTAGGCCTTCCCGTGTGGGTCCAATAAATTGGTGATAAAAATTACAACTTTTGATCTAATTATCCAAATTTCTCGAAATTTAGGAACTTGTGTTGCACTCTGAATAATGGGAACATTGGCGGTAAAACTATTTTATAACTATTTTATATTTTATATAACTTAATTATTTCGAGCTTAATTGCAGATGAAACAATACCCCGCTTGCTATTGTTAACTCTTTGTTGACAGGCTGCAATTCGAAAGCGAAGGACGGAGGTGGTAGCTGGTATCCGGTCGACCGTTGGGTTGGCGAAAAGGTCAAAGTTCACGAAATTACGCGCGGAAAATCATTTAAAAATTAATAACCTGATTTGTAATTAACTTACTTTAAACTATCATCAACATTTCGACTTTTGTGATATATTTAATGTTTTGTTTCGTATTTTTTAAAGATCTACATTCGTTTTATATATTTCTGTTATTGTTGCTTGAAAATTTGCATTTACATTTTATATTTTTTTTACATTTTACTGTGTGCGATAACAACTATTGTTTTATCATTTCAAGACGCTCGAATCTTCTTTATTTTTAAAAATAACCCTTTGGTCAGGCGTAAATACAAAATATCCGCGGCCTATAGGTATTGAAGAAGGGCAGTATTTACTGAAATCTTACGCGGAGTGTATTTTTAAAATTCGCGGGAATTTGAAACTTATTTAAGGACATCAACTCGAGCGAACCCGCGGGTAAAGCTAGATTATAAGTATAGAAAAAAGAGGTATTAGTAAATATATACCATTAACATTGAGGAGTTAAAACTTTGAGAGCTAATTATTCAAAAACTAATCGTGAGATTTCTGCAGAATTTGGCACTTATGCGTAATTTGAGTCGTAGAATCGAAAAAACATCGGTACGTCATTTCAGAAAAAGTCCGATTTTGTGTTAGATTAACTATGTTAGAATAATGCTATAAATAATCTAATAGATATCCTAAGTCGCGCTTTCGAGACATGAATAACGCAAGTTCAATTTTGCACAATCGGTCCAGTGGAATGCGAGATACAGAACTGTCCTTTTTTAGTTTGTTCAAGGTGTACAATTCCTCGAAAAGTTGTCACACTGCATTATCTATTTACTTCCTTATATTCTCTAAACGACAGATTTTTTTTTCATTACCAGACTTTAGGTACTGAGCATATACAGACCCTTAGGCACTGGTTATTGAGGCATTCACTTCTTTTACGCATTCATTTAACATTGTGTTTATATAGTAGATAGATTGAAGCAAATATCATAATACAAGATATTCATTTTGTTATAATTCTCTTATGAAGTTTTATATGCAGAGAGAAGTTTAGAATAGAGGCTAAAAATTTTTTTGTTGAATGTACGACACAAGCATCTGAAATAAATTTTATTCCAGGGTTAAGCAGAAGGTACTAATTTTGGAAGTTATATGTATACGCAATGTATTCCGTATGCTTAATAATAAATATAGTACTACATTTCGTTGTTATTTATCATATTCTTATTTATGTCTTCCGTCGAATGTCTTTGGCTTTCAGAAACATGCAGCAGTTTTTGATCGGTAGTCAGAAACGGTTAGAATTGAATGTTATTCTCATCAATGCTGGTGAAGATGCTTTCGAATCTATGCTATACGTCATCATGCCTGTAGATGTTGATTATGTCAATATTGGTAAAGTTAAACCAATGGTAAGCATATTTTATTATACTTTCGAAACATACTTTGATTCTAGAAGTTTACTGAGTTTTCATACTAAGTTTTTATATAACTATGCATCATAAATTATGTGTAGCTGTTATTTTAGAATATTTCTAGATTTCATTATTTATTCCATAAATAAGATTTTTGAACCGCAAAAAATATTAATTTTAATAATTTAATAACGTCATCACTTACGGGAGACATTTATTTAAATTAAATACTAACTTTTCTTATAATTGCTTATAGTAGGAATAATATATCCATTAAACTGAGTAAATGTTACTAATAGTTGTCTTAATTTAACATTCCAAAGCAGGTATTTGAAAAAAAATTAAACAGTCAATGAAATTGTCATTTCTGATAGATTGTAAAACATTCTTATAATATTATCCGAACACTTCGATAAATTTTGTTTCAAATATATTGTTGAATTTTATTTTTAAAATATGTGAAACTTATAAATTGTACTATAAAAAAGAAATAAAATTCTTTTAGTCTCAAAAGTAATAGATTCAAAAATATTAAAATCCAACTTAAAGATTTCTGATATTTTATTCCTCTAAATCTGAAATAATTGAGTTATGTAATATATGATATATATGTTGAGTGCTTTTGATTTTTTTGCCTTTATTTTTCTTTGATGTCAGTCTTGCCTTTCAGGATATTCCTGTTAGTTGCACTGGAAATGAAATAGGCAATGATGACGAGAAAAGATTAATTTGTGATGTCGGAAATCCTCTGCCAGCAAATACTACCGTACGTACAGGAACCTTTAATTTAGAATTAAAATTAATAATCATGTTATAAAAATTTCTTTTCAGTTATTTATTAAAAAAGGACTAATAAAACATAAATGTGTTGATTTTCTTTCATATGATTGGCAAAATCTCGTTTTATAAAGTGTAAAATTAAAACAGAAAATCATTTTAGTATATCATACTTTACATAATTGAATTTGCCAAAGTCCTACGCATTTCTTTCCGTGATTATATTTTCCTTTCATTTGAAACACCTATATTTAATGCATTAATGTATCATGAAGAGAAGCCATATACAGAAAGTCTTTACATATTTTTAGAAAGATTTTAATAAAGAATTTTAAACAATCAAATGAGCCCACCAGCGGCCAAGCGGTAACGTCGCTGATCACTGGTAGTTCGGTCCGAGGTTCAAATCCCGCGAACGGGCTGGCTGCATTGGTGTTTTCGCGGTTTTCCCCATGTGTAACGTGTATACGAGCCAGTTTCCCTTAGAAAGTCCTCCATGAAGGCATCCCTCCCTTAAGGCAGATAGCCCTCGAGTGCTTTGCCGTAATGTAATAAACCAAATAAACCGAAAAAAATCAAATGTTTTGGAACAAAACTTCCTGGCAGCAGATTACCATTTGCAATGAGAAATAGCTCTTGTTATTTTTAAATTTAGTCTGCTTTCAAAATGTCGCATGTAAACTACCCGTGAATTGAAGGATACGTCTCTGCGCTTTACGAAGAGTTATATTCCTGTTCCGTAATTCAAAAACGTTCTGAAATGCATAGTATTAAAATTTCTAAGCAAAAAATAAGCAATGTTATTAATCGGAAAGGAAAAAAAAAAGGTCAATCATTTTTTCTTCATAGAAGAAAGATTCCAAACAAATACACCCAAAAATGTACAGACTTCTTTTAATGTTTATAAAGTTAAATCGTTGGTACCAAGGGAAAACTGCGGACACAAAAATCAACTGTAGTCTTTAAATACATCTGTAGCAGCAATAAATGAAATAGTAAACCAAGATTTACAACTTAAAAAAAAGCTAAAAAACATGTTCACCAGCATCAAGCCGAGGTATATAGCTCAACGCTGAACAATTTGTAAAATCCTTTATGAAAACTATTTAGCAGGAGATGAATAAAAATGCATTGCGACCGTTGACGAAGCGTGGAGTAACTTAAATGACTTCAACAAAAAAAGCCTATTTATTATCGAAAACGAAGAGAAAAAATACACAAACCTTGTTCCGTCAATGCAAAGAATGTTTCAGTATGGGGTTTATAACTATCCTCAGGATTCTCTTGTAACAGGAAATTAAAAATAAGAAGAGTGGGGAAAAATGTTATAATTAACTCAACATACTATCAAGAGAAAGTTTTTCATACGATATTTAAAGACGTTTACGTACGTAAGACGTATGATATTTAAATATTATCTCTTTATTCCACTGGTTTTCAAAGACTGAAACTTCATCAAGACAAAGCAATAAGCCATACTTCCAAAAATACCGTTGCATCCCTTAAAAAAATGTGGACCGTTGCATATATGCCTTTTTAACATAATCCTGTGAAGTCCACTGATCTTTTACCTCCAGAGTATTCTGAGCTCTTTTTTGGCGCAGAACTACCACGATTGGTGAATTCTGAAAAATAATGGTAAGGGAATGGAAATCAATTCCTTAGAAATTTAAGTTCCCAAATTCACAATAACTTTGAAAAGTATACATAAATTAAATTCTGATGTATATTAAAATATGTTCTATGACTCTGATTGAGAGAAATTACTACAGAGTGCTTAAAATTTACCAAGGCGTAATACTTGTATGAAACTCTAATGTAATATCCCATCCTAAGTATATACCTCAGACAAAGAAAAATGAAGATTTTCCAATTACTGATTTTAATTCTTTTGCAGAATAATTTTTAAGGTTAAATATTATGTAAACGTACCTACAAGATATACTTTAAGTTTCAATTTAATATGGTACTGAATGAGTTACCAAGTGAATCAGCAGGAGGACGTGAAGCTTAGATGTGGCATCACTTGTTTTTTAACTTATAATCAAGGTTTGCGATGAGAAAATCATAAATCGGTTGCACATAGAAGGGATTTATCTCTATTCTCGCAAAATTAATAATACCATCATCAAGCATACATTACTGGAATGCAGCATCGATAGAATCTGAGAACTCCAAATAGTGATTTTTTTTAAATGCAAGAAAACAATCCGTGTTTTAAAAAGCTATGCGTTCTATTTTTTTATTTTATCTTTTCTAGTACCTAGCGTAACATATATCATGTTTAATACTGCAAAGTAATATTCTCATAAAACTGACGAAAAGCATGCTTGCTTAATTTTGAACTTTTAAATTTTCAGCTTTCTTTTAAAATTCTGCTGGCCCCATCCAAGTCCTTATCTGCTAGTCATGATTTGCAGTTCTTCTTTGAAGTAAATAGGTGAGTGCTTGAAATTACATAACTTATTTCATTGGAAATTCTTTGCATAATAATTATTTTAACACAATATTATGGCTTATATTTTTATTTCTAGAAGTTCTGCAGGTTTATATTGAAATAATCACGAATTTAGACTTTTCAATATTTAAGAAAAATATGTGTTTGTAACATTGTTATTTCATTACTTTAAAAAGAAACATAAGTGGAAAATGTACAAATGTACTCGTTACGATTATTTTATTTTCTAGTTATATGTTTGAATTTTTCATTTGAAATCCTCAGACTACCTAGTAGAACTGAGTTTTAGAGATACTTAGCCGACAACAAAACATTCAAAAAACATTTATGTAGAATATCTCAGTTCAAAATGTCTTGAATATAAATTACACAATGATTCCGATGAAGTTTTTAAATTGGGCGTATCTGTCTGGAAAATAATTTATTTCTCTAATCTAATCCTGGAAATCAAAAGCAAAACTGAATCATGCTATCCATTTTACAAAATTTAGCAGTTTTTTGCATTTATCTGCTAATTGACTAGACTGAAATGCCTGCGATTCAGTCTCTGCAAAAAATATAATTAATAAACAATTTTAAGTAACGAGAGGATATATTATTCAGAGCTAGAAATCGTAGTTTACAAATAACCTAAACCTCAACATTGGTTTGCTCCAATTAGGGACTAAAACGTAATTACAGCCAAATATCAGTATAAAATAAAATATAATAATTTCATGTGATTCTTATATTTCAAATGATCTTTCCTTTCACTGCCGTTCACAGACGATAGCAGCCAACGTTTTCTTCACTTCTAGAAAGTTAAGATGATCACGACTCAGCTTTGTGTAGCCAGCGTCTTTTCAGAGGTACTGAACGCCCAATTTCTTCGCTTTTACAGAGTAAAAATATAGGATGACTGGAGTAGGAAAACACGGTACTTCAGTCATATACCTTACATCCTATATGGTGATTGAAATTTATAACCCGTTTAACATAATAATGTAAAACAAAGTCCTGCCGAAGGTGAGAGAAATGGGCTATTTACATTAGGTAAAATATGAATTGAAGCAAAATGTTTAAATGAAATAAATATTAAGGGAAATAACGAAAATATTCAGGTGAAATAATTTTTAGATTAGCGTCCAATAGTCTAATCTATCTACTGCTGTAATTTTGCTTCAAGAAAATAAAATGAATTTCTTGACTTTTAAAATACTTGCGGGGAGTTCACAAAAATTTCGCATAAATGAAACAAATTTACCCTAATTGCTTTCAGATAGTTGACTTGCGTTCGTTGATTCTATTTTTCTATTTGCAGCACTAATGCAGAAGTGGACAAAACAATGTACGATAATCAGGCTATGATTGAATTACCTGTACGCGTAGAAGTGAATATTACAATTCATGGGTAAGTGATGCAGTTTAAAATATATTGGATCATCCGAAAAGTTCTGCGAAAGGGGTACAAAAACGTAAGAAACTTTATTTGAATCACATAATTACCATTTTATTCTACGACATTTTGCCATCCATCACGCAGTTGAAAAATATCTTTTTTTAAAAAGTCGTTAGGTTTATTCATTAAAAAATTATACAGTGTTTGATTGTCTCCCAATAAGTGAACGCCATGATGCCATTCTTGAAGTGGTGCCATTCAAAGAATTTTGAGGACCCACCAGCAGCCGAGCGGTGAAATCGCTGAAGACTGGTAATTCGGTCCGAGGTTTGAATCCCGCGAACGAGATGGCTGCATGTTTTTTTTTTTTTTCCGCCATGTGTAGCGAGTATACGAGCCAATTTCCCTTAGAAAGTCCTCCACTAAAGCATCCCTCAGGCAAATAGATCTAATGTACTTTGTCAAAATTTCAATAAACCAACAAAACCAGAGGAATATGAAGTGATTTGTAGCGATGACAGTTTAAAAGGACAAAGTATAGGGAATATGATGGATGACACAAAACATCTCAGATATACTCAACGAGCTTTTGTCTGACACTGATCGAAACAGGAAGCCTAGCATCGTTTTGATGGCACACACCTCAAAATTTGGTCAGTCTGGGAAAGTGCCCAGAAATGGCCTCGATTTCTGCTTTTAAATTTGATATTTGGGAATAGTATTTTCCCGAATTTTTTATCTAATTTGGTGGTAATCATTTATAATATGCAATTCATTTTTTAGTCCCATCATACGGAAAGCATTACTTTTTCAGCATGCAGCCCCCATCTTGATGTTACTAAAGAAGGCTCATTTGGTTGACCCCATAATCTTTTTCTTGTACCATTATTATATAGTAGCTATTTCACATCTCCAGTAATAAGCCATTTCAAAGAATGAGTTTTTTTTATTTTGTAGCAAAGGATCATGTGCTAAAACTTGAAATCGTGCTCTGTTAAAATATGGGGTACCGATACATCATAGCAGTTTACATACCCAATCTTCTTCAAGTGATACGCATTGTGTACGTTTTGGGATATACTGTATTTTATCGGACGGATCCTGAACTTTATAACTTCGATTTTCAGAGACACCTTGTTTAAATAGATCACTGTTTACAGAAGATGATTGAGAGGGTATCATCTTTAAGGTTGAAATTTGCTCCCTCAGACTTCTCAAACGGCCTTCAAACTGTGATATCAGAAACAGCATTTATTCCATTGTATAGCGCAAAACTTACGAGCAATGTGACTAGCAATTTGTGTTTCATTTTTAAAATAAAAGAGCGCGATATAACTAAAACGAACTTTTGGGATCTCCATGCTTAGCACTGCATTGGAACAAAATTATGCCACACCATAAGTTAGAATCATGCTACGTGATCAGGAAAGACCATATTTATGCATCCGCATCCATCAATAGCACTTCTTATGAGCAGTAACAAAAATGATTAAGAGAATTTCGCTTCTAAGAAAAAAGAAGAAAAAGCTTAAATTTGAAAAAAAAACGCAGAGCTTTCTGGATGAGCCAGTAGATTCTTATTTTTACTTCAATATGAATTCCTAATAAAAGATGTCCTTTTTTTTTCTAGAATATCGGAACCGCAGATTGTGGCCTTTAATAAATCAGAAACTCTTTCGGCTGAGAAGAGTAGCGAGTCAGAAGCTGGTCCTGAAGTCATCCATGTTTACGCTGTAAGATAAATTTTAAATTTTAATATAATAACTATACCCTAAACATAAAAGTACGTTAAATTGTAATCTTCTCTGCCTATAGTCGTGTGTGTTTAAAACTCAGTGATCACAGATTTCTCTTACTCCGTTAGAATGCATCATCGACACGAAACTTTTGAACCGTTTCACCAAAAATATAGTAGGAAAATGTGGGAAAGAGTATATGGCAAAAATGACATTTCTAGGCTAACTGTGTAAGTATTATAATAGTACATGCGAAAGGCATGATAGACGAAAAAAATTAAATAAGTATGAAACTTAAAAAGAATGAGGTTTTCCAAGAATGTGCTAAGAATATATTTCATCTTCAGTAACGTTTTTAGTTTTTTTAAAATTAAAACTTTCTTAGAGTTAAACGGAGAAACTTTTTAATTATTTCTAAAAGCGTAATGCATTTTTAAGTTAACCCTTCAATGAATGATCAGGAGCAGAAACAAACTTAGAAGTAATGACGAGCAGAATTTGGAGGCGAAGGCAGATTTAAATTTTCAGTTTTATTTTCAGTTACACACAAGTCGGCACATTAAATGTGTCTGTTCCAAGGCTTACATTTTATAACTTTGTAGCAAGAAAGCATTAGCAGCAGACAGACAGTAGTCCCACTAAGGCAAAGCGTAGAAAGCAAGTGCGTAATATTCAGGATGAAATCTTAAGTCAAACAAAGTTAGTTTTGGTTCTCAAAGCATTTTGATTGGATAGTTAATATTTGCTGTAAAATTATTATTGGCTGATTGAGTTTTAGTTCAATTTACATCATCAAAATTACGTAAGAGTCATATGACAGATATTTCTCGAAATGACGCAGTGCAAATAGATGTTGCTATTTTTAGAATAGAGAAGGGGAATTAATTTACGCTGCGAAACATAGTCTTTATTTTTCTTACATATATATATAACTTATATTCTTAAACAAAACATCACTGTTAAACAATGAAAGAAGTATCTTATAAATGTCGTTCTATTGAACAGAAGTGTTATGGTCTATTATATTATAATTTAAAAGTATTGCAGTTTTTCTATGTGCCCCAAAATCAGTATAGCAAGTAAAACTATCAGTTCAACGGAATTATGATTGATTATAACTAATCACAGTTATTGAGTATGAAAAATTACTTAACAGTTTTCTCGCAGGTGGGAAATCGAGGACCGAGTATGATCCGAGAAGCTGAAGTGGATATATTGTGGCCGACTTATACATTACATGAACGACCTCTGCTTTATTTGATGGATCAACCAGAAATACAGGGCAAAGGAAAATGTGAGGAAGTACCTGGTGTCAACCCTCTAAATTTAAAGGTAAATTTAAAAGCTTATTTCTGTATTTTACATTAATAAATTTTATATATGAATTAAGAATATAATTTACGAATTAAAATAATAAAAGCTAATGTTATAAATCAGGATTCTATTAGATGCAACAACACTTAACGCTCATAATTTTTTAAACTTCCTTTTGTATTATGAATGCTTTAATCATAGAGAAACTGTTTTGGCTTTGCTCTTGAATATTTATTGTGTCCACAAAAGTCCTTTCGGGCTATTTATTTTTGCAACCGTTGGTCGTAGACATATATTTGTAATTACAAAAATGTTTGAAATGACTTGAACATTCATATTTGGGCCTTTTAAATTTAAAAAAGTTAATTTTGTAAAAATTCCATAATCTAACTTTCATAGGATTTTCCAATCCATAGGTATATATAGAAAAACTTTATACTCATTTTAAAAGATAAAATACAAAAAGTTTACAACATAAATTGACTATGATTTGGGATGTTTAAAGTCAAATTTAGACATCTTTGGCTTACCTTGAGGAGTCGGTTGAAAAATCAATTAGAATAGTTTGAATTTCTGTTTTTTAACCTTTAAATGTCATTCAACGGTATTTCTTTTCAATTTACTAATGTGCAATTTTCTTTAATTTTTAATTTTGTAATGCATGGTATACAGAAAGAACTGCTAACTTCCAAAGTAATTTTTAAGTTTTGAAAATTCTAAAATTACGTTATTAATACTCTCATCTAATTTTAGTATTTTATAATAATAATAATTTATAAAATAATACTTCAGCTATAATAATAATACTTCATGATCTTTGCATATGACTCCTCCTCGTCCCTGTAATTATGTATAGTAAATTATTATACGCATTCTAAAAATTAAACACAGAGTGGTGGCTTCCTTACCACAAACATTGTCGGAAATATTTCATTTTAGATCTTCAGATAATGTTTTCAGAAATTTTAGAGGCTTCTCATAAATTAAAGACTGTGTGTGACTAAAATGACGGTAAATCTGTATGTGACTAAAATGAAACGTCCGTTTACCCTAAAAGGTTAATACTGTACACGTTTTTACATTGTAAAAGGTGGCTTAATCACTTTTGATCAGATATGCAGCCAAACACAAGGATATGGCCTCTTTGTACAAGTACAGCTTTAATAAATTCCTGTGTTATGTATTGTCACGACGCTTATCAGAAAAAAGGAAAAATTCGATCCCGATGAGAATTTACGAGAGATATAATCGCTGAGTTGATAAAACCTTGGTTAGAAAAGCGTCTTATTATTCCAAATTTGAGCCGCAGTCTACGAGATGATATATGCGGAATTCTTGAAGTGAATGAAACAAGACGTTTTCAAATAGAAGAGAAGTCGTACAATTTGTGCATTCTGCTTTTATTCTAAATAGTGAATGACCATAATGTACTGCAACATGTACTAAAATGTGGTGAACACAGAGGAAAATGTTGTCTAAATTGTAACAAGGGGATGAAATAATTATTTGTTTTGCATATTACGATAATATTTTCCCATTAATGTTTTGATGTAAAATATTTTCAGAAAATTAAAAGTTATACAGCATTTTAAAGTAAAATGTTGATAATCGTATTTTTTACGAATGATTAGCTTCAATGTCTTTCTGTGGTAAGCTTAGCTTTTTAGGGGTTAAATTGAAGACTTTATAAATGTATCTCAATAAATGTGAAATGTCAGTTTGGTAAAAGTACAAGTATTGATATGCCCACTGATGCCATGAAAGGCTCTAATCAATGCTATGTTTTTCAAAAAGGCTATATTCTTTCTCTTATAGAAAATTAGTTGCATAATTGAAAATGAAATATACTTCTAGTCCAATGACCTGTTTGGGATATCTGTTATGATCCTAGAATAAGTTTTGACTCACTTTTAGCATTTAAGAACTCATAAGTTATTTGCGTGAAAATTTTTTCTGTACAACAAATTAAGCAAAATTATAAAATAAAGAATCACACACTAGTAAATCACTAAATAATATCACTGACATCAAGTGAGAAAAGTTAGTTTTGGATTATCCTAATTTATTTTTTAACTGATCCCTCAGAAAAGATGCTAAGTTTTGATATTCTGTATTTGGGAAAAGAATAAAAATTCAAACCTTTAAAATTCAATATTTCAGAAAATACGCGTTTTGAATTTAATTTCTTAGTCATGAATCAAGTAACTATACGAACAAAGGGATCATATAAAACAGGTATCGTAATCCCTAATGTGTAATATCGGAATAATCGGATGTGTATTTCCAATTAATTTCATACCTATATACGTAACTATTAAATACTTATTTCCGCCATATATGAAAAAAATTAGGGTAATTTTTAAAATAATGCATAAAAAATGCAAGATTAGTGCATTATATTTCTGAAGCTCATTGTAATATAAAAAGTATAAAACTAATTTAATATGCTAAAGAAACCACTAATAAGAAACGGGAATTTTCACTATTGGAGTAGAAAGAGAAGATTTTTTTTTTTTAATTTTCGAAAACTATAGTACCAGCTAATTCTCTCACGTTACTCGGACTCCTCTTGTTATTGCTCGTATCTTTAGCTTTTAATTCTTTTTAGAGTGGTGTTTGGAATATCGAATTTAAAGCTAATACGTAAAGTTAGGAATAAACTAAAATTAGAAGTGAATCTTTCAAAATCTACCGTAAGCCGATTTCTTTGCTTGGTGGTTGGGAAGAGGTCTGCCATAGTCTTTGACCCACGTTCAAATCCTGGAGATTGCATGGATGTTTGAAGGGTTTTTATTTCATGAGGGCACTTAAAATACTCTTGAAATGAAAATCACCGCTAGAAGGTAGTGGTAGTGAAAGAAGGGGAGAGATATTCCCGGATCTGACTCCTACGCATACTCGATCGAAATTGGGGATCTTTCCCTTTTTCGGAGATGTAATTCGGCTTTTGCGTAGTGTGCATGCCAGTCAAAATTCTGGTGAGGAGACGGTTGAAAACAATGACCGATCATAAATATAACCCAAAATTCGAGTCGGCATTTTAACAACACTTGGCAGTTTTATAGTCTATCATTGGCTGCTTCAAATTCATCTCATAGTAGATATTAATCAAGTTTCCAAAGTAAATGACTTCAGCCTAGGGTGACCACATATTAAATACTTTTCGCAGTAATGTATACAAGAAAAAGGTTCTTGATTTTAAAGAAAAGAGGTACCAAATTTATATTTGTTTAGTAAACATTTTTAGAGCAGTTTACGATATTTTTGTCTTACTATCATAAGTAAACTCAACTTAGAATTGTTAAATTAACATTTGTCTGATAACCATGAAAAGCAAAATGTTAGAACTCAGTTCACTCTAGACATTTACGGAGTTTACATTTTTCGTTATTCAATTTCTTATTTAATATAGGTATCTGAGTTTAACATGAAAATTATAAATGAGAATAAAAATAAAACCAATAAATTTCACAAAATAATTTGAGTTGAACCGAAAACGAGCACAACTATTTAGAGAGATTTTTCCAAATATAAGCCATATGGCAAAGTGGATGGAAATCGTAATTAAAAAGGTAACAAAAATTAAAAATTAAAATTTAAAAAAATTTAAATGCAACGAATTATTATAGTATATAGTCAGGAGGGAGGCCAAACCCAAATATCTGAGTAATTCATATTATAAAATCCAAAAACCTTTTCGTGTTTTGCGAGTGATCTAAAGTATTTTTTCTAATTTAATAAAAAGACTTTCTAGATCACTTACAAAATCAACCTCTTACGTTTATGGACTTCTCTTAAAAGAAAATAAAATAAATTCAAACGTAAACAGATCCATTGTGTAAGCAATAATGTCAAAGTTCAAATCGTAATTAAAAAAAAAAAAAAAAGTGACAAAAATAATGCAAAATACCAAAAAAAAAAAAAAAAGTTTTTAAAAATTAAAACTGTTAAGTAATAATAATTAATGATTATTAGTAATCTGCAAGGAAATTTATATAGTCAAGGGATACAAAAGGATGAAGAATAAGGACACTTAGCACTCTTTTCTGAAGGCATTTTGAAAGTATGGGACATTAAAGTTTAAATGTTATAGAGGTGGGGCAAAGGTTTTTCTTGATGACGAAGTAACTAAATAGGGTTGCAATGGCGAAAAATAAATTAAACTAGTTATTTCAATTATTTATCATTTATTTGGGAGGAAAGGCCATAGAATGGACTTTATAACGATTATTTTTTTCAATTTTTTTTTTTTTTTAGTTTAAATAATTTGGAAGAAAATTAAATCTTTGGCAGATGTAAGAAGCAGTAAAAAAGGTAAGAGAAGTATAAAAGCAAAAATCTTCTCACGTTTCGGGCTGCAAAGTGACTCGACGAGAAAATAGCTATTAATCACAGCAGAGTGCTTCGGAGAACATAGTTACATTTATAGAAAAGTATGTGATGTCATACGGTTTTATGTTAATTAATCCAGTTTATTATTTTGGCTTTTACTTCCTCAAATTCTTTGGCTTCTTTTTCTAGTTATTTATTATAGCTTCTAGTTCTACTGCTCTAACAGAACTCAAATAATTGAAATTATACAACCGCGGACTTCTTAAACATGAGAAAGAGGTTTTGGCAGTATTTACTGAATTTTTGTGTGTTATTCTTCCCTTTTGCTTGAATTAGTTTATAGACTTTAACCACGGCAAGCCTCATTTACTGCGAACACTTAGGGCCGAGACAGTGCTCATTTAGGCGAGTATTAATTTGCATTTCACGTGTTAATTTGACTTCATTGTTTGCTCTGCATTTAGTCGCAAGCTATATAACAGATTATTTTCTGTTACATTTCTTGAGTTGTGGATTCAGCACCTCATATTGACGTGCTAATAGCTAGGTTATGTATTAAAACATCACTTTAAGTTTATGATATTTGTAGTTGGAAAACAATCGGGATGAAAAGTCGTCTGACTGTCTTTCCGTTTGTAGTAGTTGGGCATTTAAATTATTGTAGAACCGTACAACACATATGCATTTTTATTATATTTGTCGCTTCATATTTTATTAATCCATATTTAGTGTCCCAAAACATTTCGAACGTTTCGGTGCAAGTAAAATTAGGCATAAATTTTAAAAAATAGCGTTATATGCGAATAAACCTTTATTACCGATATAATTACATTATTGTTTATTATATTATGTTTTTCGTGTTGAAGTAGTTGAAGAGCTTTCCATAAATAAAACAAACGTTACTTTTATTTATGTAATTGTAGTAGACTCAAAATTTAGATTTCAAATTAGTTACCATTTCATGCTAACTGATTTCGCTGAATGTTAAGGGGGATTATGATTGTTATGTAATTTTTCATATCTTTAAACTTTCTCCCCGAGGTCAAAGCTATTGTAAAATCTTCATTTTTCACATATATCATTATCCTTATCATTCTTTAAAATATAATAAATATCTTGATTATTCATTTACTATGTTTCAACTGCTAATTTCACTCATGTGTTCTCCTTCGTACAGAAAGAACAAAAGAGACCACGAAGTAGCAGCTATTCCATCAGCATCGCTGATCTACAGGATAAATTAAATTCGGAAAATACAGAGGAAGATAACGAAGTAGAAGAGACGCACTTTTTACGAAAGAAAAGATCATTATTTCAGAATTCTACAGACCGAATATCAGCCTTTCAAGAGGAAATGGTTTGCTTTACTTAAATAATTTATTTATGATTTAGTATTTAAATAATTAATATATGGAAATAGATATGGCAGTTTCAAGATGTCTATTATTTCAAATTATTGTAATTATTATACTCATAGGAGGTTTTTCTATCCGCTATAAAATCCTTTTCTAAAAGAGTCCGTGAACCAATCCAGAGAATAAACTGCAAAACTACTTGCATTTCCCAAGATGGAGATAAATACTAAATTTATACTTTGAATACGTTAAATGTTACTAAAATTATCACTTTTAGTGAGTGCTGAATTTCATTAGTTTCTTTTGAAAAAAATTTTTGCATTTTGATATACAACTGTTATCAAGTTTTAGAGTTTTATATGAGGAGTTTAGGATAAAAATGCAATAGCTTTCTAAAGGAATTTGGAGAAAAAGGCGCAGTTCTTAGAAATGTAATAAAATTAATGAGCGAACCAAAATCTTCTTGCTGACTTTATAAATGATGACATTAAATAAATTGTATAAAGTCATCTTATGAGGAAATTCCATAAAACTGCGATTTTAGTAAAAAACATGTAGAATTCTTTAGTTTAAGCTTCGAACATCTTGTTCAAACTGGCAGAACTGTAGCAGTTAACCTGCATCATGTTACTCATCCGATTGTTTATGTTGCAAATCTTCTAAGAAAAAAGGCAATAATTTAGAATGTTTTCAAAGCATGAATCGTAAAGCTCAAGAATGTAGTATTTAAGAACATCACATACAATTTGTCACTCTATATCTTGTTTCACCTTTCTTGCATCTCTTCTTTCAGTACTATTATAATACGAAGAAGCATGCGTCTTTCAAGTGTACAGATATTCTTCTACCTTAGGAAATTTATAGTTTCGGTTATAACCTTAATTAAATTTTAAGACAAAGGGTCCTGCGCTTTTAAATGTAACCTGCCATTTCATAATGTGGTAACATATTTTTTCCTTTGATAACCGGCTTTACTTTTGATAGCAGATTTGTTAAAAATAAATACACATTCCGTTAGTCCATTAAAATCTGAATTTTCCTAATGGACATCTTGAAACTTACATAATTATTTTTAGTAACGTCTAACATCTTGTGAAAAAATTGCAAACTTAAACTGCATTAACAGAATTAAGTATGTTTGAAAAGTTAAATATAATATATTGTAACAGGGCACTGAATTTACAATCGCATTTATAGCCTTGCAAATTTCGCAGAAACCTGTCAATCTGATGTAAACCTGATGGCCTAATTTAGATTACGCTTCTTTCAAGGTGAGTTACCGTTAACCATGAAAGCAAGAAGCTGCGAAACAGTAAAGAGAAACAGATAAAATTTTTGCGGTTACTTATGGTTTATACCTTAAACTAAATGAGAACACAAAAACCGAAAACTTGTGTGCTTGTGGTCGATTACAAACAACTGAGTCTGAAGCAGCTAATAATTTCAGTTTAATGACGTCTGGAAATCATGATCTTACTGCAAAAATTCAAGTCTAATTTTGCCTATAGTTACTTTGAGACTTAATAGTGAATAAAATATTTCTTACTAAGTCTCTCACTTAGCAGCAACAAGAAATTCAGCGCCAGTAACAAAGAAATAAAACAATTCTCTGAAGCAATAAACAGTCGTAGTAGGTCATAAGCTGTAATTAAGAATTCGTTTTGTTTAAAATTCACATAGAATTTTCATAAATCTGCATTAAAAGAGATAGTGCGATGAAAGATAAAAAGAACACAAAGCGTGGAAAATAAACATAATTTTCAAAGCCAATTAATATGGGTGGAACTTCCTTTATACTATTTTATGTAATATATGTATATATAAATATACTTTATATTATGTTAATTAATAGAATTTGATATCTTATTTAGTTTAGAAATACTTTTATTTTTGATTATTTCAGTCATGTGGTCCTACATTATGCACAAAAATACAGTGTTCAGTTTTTAATCTCACCAAAGATGAGCAAGTGATTTTTACCATTAGATCTAGGCTTTGGAAGAACACATTGGATGAGGTAAGCATAAAGCTTCCATATGTATATTAGAAATGATAAAACTCTATTGCTACAAACACAGAATATTCAGATTCTTGAAATATAATTTGAATGTGTGATTAAAGTGAATCTATAGGAAAAAATTTAATATTTACTTATAATAGGCGAAACAAAATAAATGTGTCCTTCAAATGGGATATTCATTATAATGTTGAACAGAAACAGCTTATTGGTAAAATATTCTGCTGAAAGAATGAATTTTTTTAAGCAAACTAATTTAATCTCATTTAATAAGATCAAATAAAATTAATTAAAATATTTATGCCAAAAGGCTTGTATGTAATTTTTGTGTTTCTCTGATTTGTTCATATTTGAATTACTAAGTACCTGAAATCAAATTAAATTTAACATGTGCTTATGTGCACGTTAATATACTGACGATGCAGAAAATGTTTTAAATTCATTCTTATGTTATTAAAAACTTGTTAAAATTATTTATGTTGAAAACTATCTAATTCCAAAAATGATTTTATAAATTTATGAGTAATTTTTTAAAAATTATGTAATAATAATGGTGTTTCAAAATAATACAAGCATTAATCAGCAAGAATATTTCTGAATAATTTGCCTGTAGTTATAATATTGAATAAACGAGACATTTCTCTATTTGAAGTTCAGAATATTGAAGGTGCTTTCAACATTGTGGACTTCAAAAACTTTATTTTGTAGAGTCATTGGGTTATTTCGAAGCAGGAGACATGAAAATGGGCAATGTTCTCGCCGGGAATCGAACCTGGACCTCTCGGATATGCGCCGAGTGTGCTACCGTTACACTACGAAGACATGTTGGAAGGAGGGAGAAAAATCCCCTTTTTAAGGGGCGAGTGGGGGATGAGGGAACTCAAACGTCAATACCTTGGTGGTGAGGAATTACTGTCCAGCATCTTTTAGCTTGAGCTCCACTCTAGATTTATTAGGTTATTATGAAGCAGGACACATGAAAATGGGCAATACCCTCGCCAGGACTCTAACCTGGACCTCTCTACGCGCCAAATGTGATAACGTTACAGCATGAAGGCATAAAGAAGATACCTTACAGGAGTGTGTTATTGTGTCAAATTAACGTGAAAGTTATGTACGTGGCACAGGTGAAAAGTGATTTAAAGTGTTATTAAGTGTTGATATTGTATGGTGAAAGTGTTTTCAAGTGTTAAGTGATTTATGCGAAAAGTGATTTAAAATTTTACGTTCTGTCAACGGTGATTTATAGTGTGATTTAAAGTGTTTTAACGTATTTAAAAGTGATCCAAAGTGTTTACGTGAAAGTGATATTACGTGGTGAATTCCATCAACACTGATTTAAAGTGATTAAGGTGATACAAGTGTTAACGTGAAAGTGATATAAATGTGTTATTAAGTGAAAAGTGCTCAACGTGTATCGGTGATTCAAGAATGACACGTAACTCATCTGCACAGTCGGAAGGAGAGCCTCAGATGCAAAGGTCGGATTTCGATCCGCAAGAGATACTCGACAGTGACCAAGACCATCAAGGCAAAGTTCACCTGCTCTACGAATTTATAAGAAAGACAGCCAGCACTTATAGAAGGGGCAAATTCCTCCTACCTCAAGATCTTCGTGAGCGACTGCTATGTGCTCTGGACGCTCTGGAAACGCTAGCCTTGAGAGGCCCACACCTTGCAGAGAGTCCAACCCTAGCAGACATAGGAGTAAACACGTCGACGGTTCTTTGTTGTGAACTTGCTCACTCGATTCAGCAAAATGCAAAAAGACAGGTGAAGCAGCTCCATGCAAGCAAAGATACTATACAGCAGGATGAGCACCCGGTTATAGAGGGCAAAGATGGCCAACCTACGTACGCGCAAGCGGTAAAGCGGAGATGGAAAAGGAAAGTCACGAACATGCCGACACTGCTGATCCTCCCTAAACGTGATGAACAGAGTGCGGATATACGCGGGGGGGTACTAGAAAAGCATGTCCAAATTGAAGATCTGTGTGTCAACCTTCGGGGCATTACGAACTTAAGTAGTGGAGGTGTGGCGGTGCGATGCAACAACAAGGATGAAAGTACAGAAGATAAGTCAGTTCCTAGCTCAGCACGATAACCTAAAGGATACAGTACGCACGCGTATACCACGGAAGAGAACACCGAAATGATGCACAATCGACAATGTACCGTACGGCACCTCGGAGGTGGAAGTACAAGAAATGCTACAAAAGTCTTGCAATCTTGGGAATGAAGAGTGTAGAGTCCTCTTCAAGCGCCCGGACAGAAGGAATAGAGCCACAAAGTGGGTGATTGAATGTACCCCTGGTGCCTTTCATGTCCTCATGTCCAAACGAAGATTGTTCCAAGGATGGAGGGAACATAGTATCTACGAGTTTACAGGAGCCAAGCGCTGTTTCCGCTGTCAGGACCTGGAACATACGTCGAAAGACTGCTGCCACAGGCCTTACTGCGCTTACTGCGGAGGCTGTCATGACATTAACGAATGTAAGGCGGACTGCCCTGAATGCATTAACTGCATCATAGCAAACAGAGATTCAAAAGTTAAAGTGGATACACACCATGCAGCGTACGCAGCAAACTGCCCAACATTCCATGCGCACATCCAGAAGATTAAAGCACGTACTGACTACGGCGAGGACAACTAATTTAATAGCCCAGCAAGCAAGGCATCGTCTACCTACTACAACAGCCAGTTCACTTAATAACAAGCGCAACTCTCTAGGAAGCAAGTCAAGTATTTTCACAGTTAGTAATTTTACCTTAAAAGTCAATTAATTTACAAAAGTAATGGAAGTGAATTCAAGAACAGAGGAAAGCAATGTGCTCAAGTTTGTCCAAATCAACCTCCAAAGAGCGCGTGGCTACTGCACAGCTAGTGCAATATGCTATGGAGGAAGAGGCGGACTTCCTTTTAATTCAAGAACCTTTCCTTTATGCAGGGCAAGCAGCAGAATTTCCCTCCAATAGACCGTCATCCAGGATTCAGGAAGTGAGGGAACAAGAGCGGCAGTAGTTTGTTGCCACAGCAGATGGTTGCCAGTTGTGCTAGCAAAGTCAAGAGACATGGTCACAATTGCAGTCGAGGCTATGGGACTGAGTGTCCTGGTCACGAATGTTTACATTCCACCTACAGTAGACGTTTCTCCCACATTAGATGCCTTGCAGAATATCCTTACGTCCTACCCGCATGCACACCATGTATTGGCAGGAGATTTTAACTCTCATGCGGAGGACTTCGGATATCCGACCACAGACCCAAGAGGTAGAGAAGTTGTGGACTTCATTGCATGCAACGGACTCATTCTTCATAACGTGCCGGACAGTCTGCCGACCTTCGAGACCCAAATGGGAAAAGGATGGCCCGACATCACTCTGTCAACAGCGCGTCTGGCTCAGAAAATACAGCACTGGACCGTAAGTGACACTCCCTCAAACTCGGACCATCGCTATATAACGTTCCAGATAGGTCAGCCACATGCGCAGTTTATGAACAAGCGTTATAGAACCAATGGCAGAAAATTAAAAACAACTTGTAAGCAGGCTAGGACCAGTACTAGAGCAGGTGGACGAGGCACTTATGAAATGTCAGAACATAAAGGATGCTGACGACTTAACCACCAGTATGATACGAGATATTCAATCTATCTGTGATGCCACCCTAGGCCTGAAATCACCAAAAGTTTTAAGAGTGGCAAACTGGTGGACGAAAGAGCTCCGTGCACAGCGCAGTCGCACCAGGGCAAGCTCAGTACAAAAGGGCAATTACAGCCGCAAAACTTGCCAGCTGGAGGGAGTTTGGTACTAAGAATGTAGAAGTCTATGGTGCTCTCCACAATATAGCTTCGAACAAAGTTTACAGACCACCGGAGATAAGAGCCTTTGCAGGGCAGCTGGCTGGACACATAACAGAAATCACGCTCAGGACAATTCTTGACGCCGTACTTCCGGAAGAGGATATTACAGATCCGTCCGACCACCAGGCTTATACGCTGCACACATCTGTCCCAGATGATATGCCATTTACGGAGAAGGAAGTCTCCGCAACGATCAAAATTCTCCCGAAAAGTAAAGCCCCTGGTCCGGACTCAATAGACTATCCAATCTTGAGAGCAATACATAAAGCAAGATCCGGCTTTCTCACGCGTTATTTTAACAAACTGCTAGCACTGCAAAGCTTTCCGGAACCTTACAAAACGGGGCAGGTTGTGCTCTTTAAGAAAGAAGGGAAGGATCCAAACAGCCCATCCTCTTTTAGGCCGATTTGTCTTCTCCCGGTAATAGGGAAACTCTATGAGAAGCTCCTAGTCCAGCGGCTTAAATTTCATATGACGCAGAGTGGGGCAATCTCTGACGCACAATATGGATTCAGAGAGCTACGCTCAACGATTGCTGCCCTATCAAAGATAAGAGACTATATCAGCCACTTGCATGAAAGGAAACAGCATGCAGCGGTCCTAAGTCTGGACCTGCAAAGCGCATTTGACTCTCTGTGGTGGCCCTCAATTTTAGAGGCACTGCACCAGGCAAGGATCCCTGATAACCTCTTGCAGGTTTTCAAGCAATACCTGTCCAATAGAAAGTTCATAGTAACACACACTGGCGGTGTCATAACCAGAAGCCAGACAAAAGGCTGTCCACAGGGATCGTGCGCGGGTCCAGACTTGTGGAATGCAACTTTCGATTCCATCCTACGATACGAATGGCCGTCCCATACACCAGATAGTAGCCTTTGCGGATGACGCGACCTTTGTGGTGGGCGGCAAGAGTAGAGATGAACTGCAGCAAAACTGCAATGATGTAATTGATACCTTCTCTCGGCTATGTCAGGAGAAAAAGCTAATAATTTCTGAGGCAAAATCGAAATATATAATTTATCATAAGCCAGGCCAAACTTTAATAAGAAACCCAACCATCCAGCTTAATGGGAAGACCATCAAAAGGGTCAGAGAACTAAAACTCCTCCTGGGTATTATATTGGATGAAAAGTTCACC